GGTCAATATGTTGAGGTCAAAACCCTCCAGTTTTTGCAATATAGATTTTCAAGTGCATGTGTACCACGTTTGGTCTAGATCTATCCATAAATTGTAATTTTATCTAAATAAATCATATAATGAGAAAAAAACGTGATTTTGGCCCCAAACCCTGTACGGGGTAATTTTTTTTTTTTTAAATTCAAAATCCATAAGCATTTCCTGCTGAATAATAAAATGTAATTAATTACTGTGTATCCGCACTTGCAGGAACTACCGTGATAAACGTATTGGGTGCAAACAGACATACAGACAAATGTACACCTTTATATAGAAAATAATTATTATACCAGAAAGATACATGGATAAATATTTAAAATCTTATTGAGAAATTTAAAAGAAATTAATTTTATCCTTGAAAATCAACATATGTTGTATTAGTGTTTCTCTTTGCTGGGTCTCTAGCATGGCTTTTACCTGTAACATTACCGTGTCATTGTCTGATGTCAGTAACACTACCGTGTCATTGTCTGATGTCAGTAACACTAGCGTGTCATTGTCTGATGTCAGTAACACTAGCGTGTCATTGTCTGATGTCAGTAACACTACCGTTTCATTACCTGATGTCAGTGATTCAATCTAGACAGAAATTCATTGTGTGTGGCATTTAAGAAGCTTACGATGATCGTACACCATTTAAATAATTTTATCATTAAAAAAAAGTGAAATTAACTATGGACTTGAACTGTTCCGTGTGTAACAAATTGTAACTTTGTGTACGAAATCAACGGAGCAAAAAATTGCTTTTATCAAACGACAGAAGGTTGTATTTAATTCTATCTAATTTAACTGTAACAACTAGACAAACTGGTGTATCCTTTTACTTTGAACAAGTCTTTAACTTCAGTATAAGAACATGACATGTAACTTCAGTGTAAAGATGTGACATGTAACTTTAGTGTAAGAACATGACATGTAATTTCAGTGTAAGAACATGACATATAACTTCAGTGTAAGAACATGACATATAACTTCAGTGTAAGAACATGACATGTAACTTCAGTGTAAGAACATGACATGTTACTTCAGTTTAAGAACATGACATGTAACTTCAGTGTAAGAATTTACTGTTAGGGACTTGAGTGTATAGTGTGATTGCGTGTTGGTTTGAGATTATGTGTGTTGTTTTATCTGTTATTCTTAGTATCTTGTGACGTATTGTGTAGAAAGGGATGTGACGCATTAGTATGGTAGATGGCTGTAGAGTGTTGTGCTTTTGAGTACGGAAATGGCAGTTGAGGACTTAGTTGGATGAATAAAGATATTTTATACAAGAATTTATAGTTTTGAAGTGTTTATAATAAACCCCTAGACAACGAAGCCAACGAACCTATTAACTAAGAAGAGGTTTGTAACATTTGGGAGGCTTGTCCGGGATTGGGCGCCCATTGTGACTGCATACTGATGTATATGTGTGCTGCTGGTCCTGTGTCCCGCTGGGTTTGAATCCTGCTAAACCTGCATCCTGCGACTACCACATGCTGCTCTACTGTATCCTGGTTTGACGTTAGGCCGCTGCCTGGTCTGTATCCTACCTGGCCTGTATCCCACTGGGCCTGTATCCAGCGACCATCGTATGCTGCTGTGCTGTGTCGTTGTCGTATCCTGCGTGGTTTCCGTATCCTGCTGGCCGCCCCATCCTGCTGGCCGCCGTACCCTGTTGGTCGCCTTACCCTGCTGTTGCCAACCCTGCTGGTTGCCGTATCCTGTGTTGCCGTATCCTGTGGTGTTGCCGTATCCTGTGGCCTGCCATATCCTGTGGCGTTGCCGTATCCTGTGTGGCTGCCGTATCCTGTGGCTGCCGTATCCTGTGGTGTTGCCGTATCCTGTGGCTTGCCGTATCCTGTGGCTGCCGTATCCAGTGTGGTTGCCTTATCCTGCCGGCTACCATACCCTGTTGGTCGCCTTACCCTGCCTGTTGCCGACACTGCTGTAACACTGTGACACTAGTGCTGTACCCGTGTTGAATGTACCATACTGCGGTTGTACGCCTACGCAAGTCATCTACATTTGGGACCCAAGATCAAGCACAAGACCGGGTGATTAGTTTAATTTGGATTTGTTGTTGCATAGGGTTGATGTATTTTTTTTTATATTGTTACTGCTATAGGGTATTTTAATGATTATCTGACATGGATTTCGATGAGCTAATATTAGAATTTAGGGAGGAGGCAGAGATAATAGGTTATAAGGGGGAAGCCATCACTCGGTGGGTAGAGAAAAGGATAAGCGAAGAGAGGGAAGATCGGAGGCGTCAGCTAGAGAGGGAAGAACGGGAACGCGTTAGAGCCAGGGAGAGTGAAGAACGGGAATGCGTTAGAGCCAGGGAGAGTGAAGAACGGGAACGAGTTAGAGCCAGAAAGAGGGAAGAACGGGAACGCGAATGGGAACAAAAGATGGAAGAACGCGATAGACAGCAAGCCAAAGAACTAGCAGAGCTAGAAGAGAAAATAGCACGGGAAAAACGAGAGTGGAAAAGGAACCTAATAAAGAAGCAAGAGGCTGAGTTTGAGGCATGGTGTAGAGAAGAAGAAAGGGCTGGGAGACCCGTGGCTAGGATAGTTAGAAATAACGTTAAGGAAACTAGGGAGTCTTTAGTAGAAGTTGAGGACCGTAAAGTTATTTTGTTAGGCAAGGAAAAGGAAATAAAAAACCGATTAGTACTGACTTTGTTGAAGAGAATAGATTAGACGGTGTAGTTAGTATAAATTGTTTAAATCCGTACGATAGAAAGGACTGGTCAGAAGGGGAAAGAGACGATAGGGTTTACATGATAGAAGGGGAAAATAACAGGGATTCTTTGAGGTGGAATTATAAGAAGAATAGTTGGGAAAAAATAGATGAGGTCAATAGTAGAGGGAATGAGCTGAGATGGTGCAGAGAGAGCAAGTCGTGGATAGAGCTGGCAGATAATAAAGATAAAACTGAGAAGGGGAACAATAAGAGAAATGATGAATGGGAATTTTTTCAGTTAGGAATAGTTGAAGAGTATTTTGAAGACACAGGGGCAGATAAGAGGGGGGTTGTTCCGTTGGATAAATTAGAAACTTGGGAAAATGATAAGGAAGGTGTTATTTTGTTAGCAGAGGAAAAATAGGTCACTGAGAAAATGTCAGATTTTCTGGAGGAGATCAACTGTCCGGATGAAATGAGGGCAAGCATAACTGAGTGTAGGGGCGAGGAGTTTTTTTTAGTTTCGAGGGAGGAGGTCAGCATAGTTGAAGCACACGATGTAGAGGTACAAGGCGAAATAGAGTTTTTTGGTACGGGTGTTCACAGGGATATAACTTCACGTGGAATTGGTATGGATGTTCCACACGTTAGTAATAGTGTTAGTGATGTTCCACACTTTGGTGATATTGGCTGTCCTGATGAACAGGATGATTCTGACGTAGCACCTGGTGATGAAAGTGGGATTTTTTATTTTGATTCAGCTTGTGCGTATGATAATGTACAAGAGTCGGTTATTATACAACTGGAAGTTTTTGATTTTTTGCTGGAAAGGGATGTTGTTTTGGTGAAAGAGGCAGTTGTTGGTTTTGTGAGCGACAAAAGTGTGTGTTGTGAGTTTGAATGTTTTGAATGTGTCATATCCTGGACAAGTTACGATGAGCACGACGTGGAGGTCGTGAACTTGTCAAGGGCAGTCCCGAGAGGGGAACATAAGGTGAACAAAGTTGAAGTCATCGGTAATGACTTCAGATGGAGCTACGAGGGTCGTAGTCCACGCGCTCGGTTAAGTGGTGTCACTGGTTGCTCGAGGTGTGAGAGCCGGTGTAGTAGTGGGTCTGGTTTAGACTCAAACAGTCTTGTTGTTGACCGTTGTCACTTTGAGTCCGTGGAGGACGTGACCTTTTGTCCTGATGTGGGACCAAGGGATAGAAATGATGTTTTTCATAATAAATTATGTCATGTGGGTTTAGGTGGGGGATGTTTTGATTTTGTTTTTGATGTGTTTTATAAAATTGATGTTTTATGTCATGAGAGCCGGGAGCGCTTTGAATGTCTTGAGGGCTTTGATTTTGTTGAGAGGTGTTGCCATGAGTTGGGAGGTGAGGACTGTACATTTTGTTTCACTGGGTTATGTGAACATTTGCTTTGGACAATGTATATTCAATTTTTGTGTAACTATTTGCCACGTAAAGTATTATTCAAATTGCTTGTAGGGGCTGACTTGTTAAGCCAGGGGAGAAAAGTAGTGTTTGTAGACAATGTTGTGAGCTGGGGGAGAAATTTGCACGCTTTTTGGAAAACGACAAACAAGCAGGATATACCACCCTCTGAGTGCACTAACTGGCTGGACAATTAATGGCTGTCCATAAGATTATCGATGTTGACATTTTTTTTTCCCGTGAAAGTGTACCTTAGTTACATGGAGGAGGCTATTTTTTTCCCCCCATTGTTCGAGTTGGATGAGAGAAATTTTGTTTTCATAATGTACACGTGAAGATGATATATTATGTTTGGGAGCAGGAATTGCTCAGAATTAAATTGTATTTAAGGGTTTGACTTTGTTGAGTTGGGAGGTGGTACTAACAATTTTATGTCTGTTGCCAGATTGGTTTACATTTGGTATTTACTCTTGTTAATTGTTTGATGTCTATTGACAAATTTTTTGGGATATGTATTTGTCGGTGACATGAATTTTTCAAATTAATGTCAAAGGAAGCGGGGGAGGAATGTTAGGGACTTGAGTGTATAGTGTGAGATCAATAAAATTGGCCATGAATGGAAGATCCTGGAGAAGCTGGCCCAGGATAGAGATGCCTGGAGGTCTCTCGTAGGTGGCCTATGCCCTTGGAGGAACCGCAGACGCCGACGATGATCGGTGGATGCCCCTCATGGACGAGAAGGCTCAACAACAGCAACAATAATATTTAGAATTTCCTTAACTTCCCATTTTGTCACAAGTTAATATATTGGCATACATTTTTTTTAGTTTTTATGGTTAAGTTGCACACTTACTTGATCAACTCTGGTTGAACTGAGAGTTTGTGAAGAACTTCCAATGACAGACATCGCTGCCATATTGGCTTTTCAGGGTCCAAAAATTTGACCAGTAGTGAAAGGAAGATCTCACATTCTGTCACCTGTGATAAAAGGTTCAGTTTGTAAGCTGAAGTGCTCCACACAAAATAAGTTTTCAGTGCAATGGCTTGACTTGTAAAACTTCAATATTTTTAAAGTTCTCAAATACCTTATTAATTGATTCTCACTATGGTAACAGACAAAGCTCATCTCAAACCAAATTTAGAAGAAGGCAAAACCATTGGGTTTCAAAATTTAAAAGTCTAAAGTTTCTCTTGAACACATTTGGAGTATTAGATTTTTGTTTTGTTTTTTGTTACCCAAAAAACCTTTCAGAATATAAAAATTATATAGAAACTAGTATTCCTTTGCTTTCTAATTCTTGTAACTTCCTTCTGAACAATGTGAGCAAGCTATTCATAACATATCAATAGAATCTTACAACTCACAACTTATCATCAGCTGATAATTAATTTGTAAGCTATTTTAGATGTTATCCAGTATTTACTAAGTTGATTCAGGATATCTCACCAACAACGGATAATAGCTCTTGATGAGAACAGCAACAATACGAAGAAGTCTCATCACAATAGGGAAGAAGGGTTTTTCTACAGGAGCGGGCGATGGAGCTGGCGGCAGCCCTTGGCGATACTTCAGGCTTGGAGAGAACAATTTGATCACCAGCGGGCAAACTCTTTCTTTCAGCATAAAGCTAAACTCCTGGTGCTGAGAGATATCCAAAGTGGCATGTCAATGAAACTCAAATGTAAATTGTCAGGAATTTCCAGATTTTTAAAAATTGAGAGTAGAAACATCTAAAAATTAATTTTAAATTTTAGTTTTGCAATTTAAAATATTTCTTTTATCAATGTAACAATTTTAGATTAAAAATAATTGTCAAAGATTTGTATACAGAAGTATATGTTTAATATCAAAATTAGTATTTAAATATAACCATATTAATGAAATACATCGGCCTTTTCCTATACTTAAGATGAGATCAGAAAAAACTGAAGCAATAACTGAATCAAATTTATATTGTCTATTAAATTGCTTATAATACCTGACAGTGCGTGAGGTCAAAAACAATATTTTTAAAATTAATTTAAACAAAAATACTTATTTGATAGAATGTAAAGATTATTATTTGTTTACCTGTGAAAAAATTGTGGGATAGCTGGTTAAGACTGACTCTAAAAGTTCCAGGCCAAAAGTCCGAGTCATTTCTGTCATCCCCATCAACCAAAATGGTTGGTCAGCATTCACCAGCTGACACAAATCCTGTGATATGGGATAAATTAGCAACCAAATTCGTCTCTAAAAAAAAAAAGAAAACAGCTATTCTAAACCATTTAAAATGGACTAGATCTAAATTGATGGTCTACAAAAGGTTTAAAAAGATTGAAAAGTAATAAGAATCAAGAAAAAAAAAACTAGAATGTTTAAGAAGCTCTGGGTGTTATAAAGGATGATTTGTAAAAAAAGAAGGGGGGGGGGGAATCCAGCTGGTAAGACTAGCATGAATATAAAAACATTGTTAATTTTCAAAATTTAAAAACCCAACAAAAGCACTCATTATTTAGTTTCCCTTGGACAAATGCACTAGAGAGAAATTTACCTGAAAAAGCAGGTAGGCATCTCCGGCACAAGGTCGAAGTGATTTTGGTGGGTTCCTGCTGCCTGCTTTCAGCTCCTCAAGGTTAACAGATTCCTTTGGTACTGGTTTTCACAAAATAAAACACACATAAATGTTTTGGTCAATTATTGTTTAAAATTAAATATAAAACTCACAACAGCGATGAAACATGGGTCAGCCAGAAAAATGTACAACTCTTAACCTTTAGTTATTTATAGAAAAACCCATCTGAAGTCTCTCTGGGCCGCCAGTCATCAATAGCTGAAAGCTAAATTTGCTATTTTCCAGTGAATGCTAACAAATAAAATTATTATTCAAATTATTGAAATCTACTGTTTGTCAGCAATCAACGACATGACAACCACATAATAAAGTTTCTCCTTCTCTCTGCTTTTACCATGGAGCTGTCGTGGGGACGTATAGCTGATGGATTGCCACAAGGTGTGGGTTCAGGTCATGGAGTTTTAGGGTTTCCTTAACACAGTCAATACTCCAACTGCCTGATCTTCCCCTGCCTGCTATTGTATGGTTGCAATTCATGTTGGCTGACCAGATGGCCAAACCAATTAATTTTTTTTTCATTGCCAAATAGTGTCTGATTGGGATGGCACCCCATTCAACTTATTTCCTGGTTCCAAATAGGGTCCATTCTTGCCGCTCGCCTTAAACATTTCATCTGGCAGGTGAATATTTTCTCTCAAGAATTTTATTCAGAACTTATCCGTATCTCCTTCACACAGCAATTGTCCATATATCCTTCATCTCATTCACATGGCAGTTGTCCATATCTCCTTCGCACAGTTATTGTCTAATTATCATTCACACAAAAATTGTCCTTATCTCCTTCACACAACAATTGTCCAATGCTCATTCACACAGCAATTGTCCATATCTCCTTCACAACAATTGTCCATATCTCATTCACACAGCAATTATCTACATATTAAGCAGGTTATTACCAAAATTCATGAGGTTTTAAAAAAAACATATTCCCTTACTGCCATTGTACAAATCTGGACAATTACCCAAACACATTTTTTCTTCTCGGTTTGCATTCTCCCTCCCACCATCTGGTCCCACCACCTGGCCCCACCACCTGGTCCCACCACCTGGTCCCATCACCTGGTCCCATCACCTGGTCCCATCACCTGGTCCCACCACCTGGTCCCAACATCTGGTCCCATCACCTGGTCCCACTACCTGCTCCTACCACCTGGTGCCACAAGATGGTTATTACCTGATGTTGGTATTTTATCTTCTATGACCACCCTGTCAAAGATGGCGGACACAAGTTGTTTGATCGCTGCAGCTGCTGTGTTGATGGTTGTGCTGTCTTTGGTAAAGTGAAGGCGGAAGCAAAGTACTAGAGCCTGCGAACAAGAGCGGAATGTATCAACTGTTTCAACTAAAATACGAATTTAAACAATGTTTTCTTAATAAATAGATGATATGACAGTTCAAGGTAAGTATAAATGATTATGTGGCTATGTTGAAAGCTGTATTAGTCGATATTTACTTTTGCCCGACGTTAGATCAAAAGTATACACTAACTACTAATAAGCAGTATAATTAAACAACCCGGAAAAACAAGTTTTTAGTACAAATCCTTTGTAAAATGTTATTTGAAGCAATGAGGGGTGGGGCTGACAATTTGACAAAATATTCATACCCGGCACAAGTAACGCACTTTATAAGAATCACAATTAGTTCCACCCAAGGCTCACAAATGCACATTTTTTTCACGCTCCTGAACTATATTAATATTCTAATGACCCAACTGCTTTTACCCGCAGATTTATTTCACTATTTCAGAAAAACTAATGAAAATATTAACACACTTGCAATATTTTTTTTTTTTAAATTTTATTTAGCTAATTTAGCTCAGTTATCAGGAATTTTATTTTGTGAAATCAGTGTCATCATATTTCCTTCACGCTCCCCTTGAAAAACAGGAAAACTGATTTTTGGGGGGAGGGGCTGGGCTGAAAATTGGAAAGAATGTTTTGTCATTGGCATCAAGTCTATGTGCCAAGTTTCACCAGGATAGGTTGATGGGAAGAGGGTCAATTTTTTTCTTGATTCATGTCTATAGTAATTATAGAATTACAAATCATAACCAGCAATTTATTTTGTGCCAGTAAAAAAAATATAAAGAATTACAAAATATACCTAAGTAAATTTGCAGTACCTGAAAGTTAATAGAATTACAAACCTTAGCAAGAGATTCATGTTGTACCACAGAATTAATGGTCAGAAGTAATATAGCTGTCTGTAGCAACTTGAGTTCTTCCAGCCCAGCCTCCATCAAGTGCCATAACATGCCAATAATGGAATCTGCTGCAGCCTGGAAGCAAAGGAAATGTACATGTTATGTGTTCTTTTTTATTTATTAGACAAACGCAGTACAACTATTGAACAGGCAACCCAATAAAAATAAAGTGTAAATACTGTAATGGAAATCTTAAATTCATTGCTAAGTTTGTCATAAAAATTACTAAATTTATAAAAATGAGTTCCTTCATTCTATTGGAATAAACAGTTTGCTATGTCTCTAAAAATTATGACACAGAAATTATTAGTTTTCATATGCATTTAGCATTCATTCAAATTTTTTTTTTGACAAGCAAGATTGTAAATAGTCTTCCCCATCTAAGCATGTCAGATTAATTTTATAGTTTTGAAAGGTTTTGAATTACAAAAAAAAATGGGACAGGAAAATGAAGATAAATTTCAAAATACACACAATGTAAATACTATTTTATCCATCCATCCCTGTGGCGCTACAGCCCATGTAGGGCTTTGGCCTGCCTCACCACTTCCTTCCACTCAGACCTAACTAATGCCTTTCTTTTCCATGCTTGGATTTTCAGCTGCTGTAGATCTTTTTCCACATCATCTATCCACCTAAGCCTAGGTCTGCCTTTGAGCCTTTTTCCTCTAGGGTATTGGGGATGCACCCTCTTCGTTCCTCTGTCATTTTGCATTCTCTCTAGGTGTCCTGCCCAGCGTAACCTGCCTCTTTTTATTTCTGCTAATATCGTGGGATCCTGATATAGACTGTATAATTCATGGTTGGTTCGTATTCTCCATTCATTCATCCTTTGTAGGCCCATTTATTTTCCTAAGAACTTTCCTATCCCATGAGTTTAATAGGTTTTCTGCTGTTTTTGTTAGGGTCCAAGTTTTACTTGCATATGTTACAACTGGTCTGATTACAGTTTTATAAATAGTTTTCTTTGTTTCTCTTGTAATGTTTTTGTGTGGAGATACTGATCTTCCATCAAGCACCTCCCCAGGTGGCGGATAGGGGAAAGCCCACCAGATATGGAGGGTACCAGGGAAATAAAATACCTGGGGCGGACCAAAATCAGAACCTACTACCTTGTAGGAAGTGGAGGGATCCACAAAGGCTAGGGAACCTTACCCAAAAACTAAGGTAGCCACCCAGAGAGCTGTAAGGGGCAACCCCCCAGATGGTTGTGCACAGGGTTAACAACCCAGCCATGTAAAAAAATCAACGTTACGAAAGCCAATCAACAGAATAAAAATAGTATTTTAAGGAATTATTTATATCTTGTTCTCAAGATTTCCCTTCACACAGCTTGAATGCTGTCTTCTCAATATTTTTCATACTTCCTTTAAAAGAGAAATTTTTTAGGTTACTCATTGGTTATCAATAGTTTTACTGTTAGCACTTTGGCTCCCAGGAGGTATTTCCATGGTTTCACCAAGCAGTGTCAGACACAGAACAAAAACAAGACCACTATTAAACTTAAATCTAAATTCCAATATACATATAAGAGATAGACCCCAAATGTTGCATATCAATGGAAAGGAAATTGAATGTACTTTTCTATTAAATTACTTCTATATAAATTTGGAATCAAATCATTTTTTTAATTTGTTAACAACAGCAATGCAATAATAAATATGAAAAAATAATTCACAAATGTCAAATTACTAAAATTTTCAAACATTTGTATACCAATTGGCAAAATATTTTTTATTAGCACTAGTATCAGTTAACAGTTCAGCTCAGCAGTTTTAGCAAAATTTTAAGAATATTTCTCTTGATCTAACAGTAAATGTGTTCCATTTTTATTTTATGGCTACGACCCTTTTCTTGACGCCAACTTTCATCATGTTTTTGTCAACATTTTTCTTACTCAAATGCCTGAGATGTAAAACTAATATTTATTTTATCATATAGCAGTATTAGAATAAACTCCAGAGCTAATCCAAACCTTTATTCTGCTCAAGCTTTTAACAAAATTGTTATTAAACTGGCAAGCTATCTCACAAGTTTTAAGGACGAAATTTATATATATTTACAAACCGTCGAAACAGCTTCATTGGATATCATTCTTTGTACTGCAACAAGACAAAGTGGTAAAAGCTTGGGGTTTTTGGTGTCACATCCAAGAACAAAAGGATGAATGACATCAGTGCTGATTGACAACAGGCCTAGGAGATAAAAATAGCATGTTTATGGTGGTTATTTTTCTTAATAATTTTCAATTTTTCAATTTTTATTTTTCATATTTTTCATTTAAAAAAATTAAAAAACAGTTCCCTTTTACTTTAACCTTTCATCCAATTTTTTTTAAACATATATATTATTAAATTCTAACAACATACCAGCAATTATGTCTTCATTCTTTGTAGAAATCGTGCGTAACCTCACTTGCACCATTTCAGCACACTGAAAATGTATTCCATCTTTAACAAATGATTGAGAAAGAAATTTTTGTAACTCCCTACTTTATTTCACAAATTAAATGTCCATAAAACTTGATATTTAGAACTTCTAGCTTAATTTTTACATATCATGTTGATAAATAAAATGTAGTGAGATATAAAAAAAATATTAAGCTGAATCATATATCCAATCATTTTTTTTTTTGTGAGGACTAGTTTTCATTTTTTCAATGCTTACATAAACATTTTTGAAAGCACATGTTGAAGATAAAACATTAACCTAATATCTTCTTCACGTAGGGGAGAGCTGTGTGGATAGTAAAATCGAGGACCACCCCTGACGTCATAAACTCTAGCTACAGTAGGCGAGAGCTGCGTGGGTTGTAAAATTTTTACATTTTCCCCTGCCATTTAAAAATAACTATGAAATAATATATGACTTTATTAATTTTTAAAATCATGTAAAAGGTACCTCTTTCACTTCAGGGTGCTTCCTTTTACATTCAGCAGACAAGGTTCGAAGATCATTTTGCATACTATCTAAGAGTTTCTTAGCCAAAGCTGGATTGTTTTGTCCCTGATTAGCCATGGTTTAAGGGGCTTGAATTTTCAAAGTCAAGATTAATTAACAACTGAGTGAAAATCTGGAGAAATGTCTTGATAAACACCTGTAGATATATTGTTTTTGATAATTATTTTGAATGAGCACATTATAAACATCTATATTTTGCATAATTCAAAATGGTACATGATGCAAAAAATGTATGAAGAGTCACACAAAAAAAAAGAATTAGTGTGTCACAAATGATATATAATTATATTTTGTATGTTTTACAAGATAAATAAATGATCTTTTTATGGCTAATTTATGTGACAGATTAGTCCATTAAGTTAATAAAACTTTCAGTTTCAAACACAGGCCCACATAAATCATTATTCTAATTGTAACGAAACTTAACATGAATTATTTTTCTTGTCAGTATCAGATATATATTTATTAGAGTTAGTGCCTTGCCTAAAGCCTAACATTGTCTAAATTTAATATTTATTTTATTTTCTGGCAATTAGTTTTAATATTTTCCAGCTGTCTCTTATCTCTAATTCAAACTCTAAGTTAATTAAGTCTTTAGTTACAGGAAGTTAGAGGCATTGCTAACTTAGTCATAGACCGAATACAGAATAGACATTCACTTCATTACTTCATCATAACATAGTTTGATAAGTTTGTTTACTTTTTTTTTCTTCTAGTTTTCATTTCATTTCATAGCACTAGTTAAGACTAGTTTATAATTTGACTGGTATTATGAGCTACAGAAGTAATTTTTTATGATAAGAGATGACATAGCCAAATAGAATTTGTAGTCAGTATTATACAAGTATTTATTAGACTTAAAATTAAATAACTTAAATAATTCCACTTAGTGAATTAGTAGCAGACAACTCAGGCGAAACTTTATGTTACTTCAAAGGAAGAATAAAAGTGGGCGTAGTCAACAGCTGTTCATATTTTTTTTTATTAAATAAAAAATTGTAATGCTCTCACATAAACATCAAGGGCAAAATTAAATATTCCAAAATTTCCTCAATATTAAAACTTTAAAATGTGAACAAATATTAGTCAGCTACAGGGTTGTTTTGAAATAGGAGGCTGCCATGTTGGAGTAGTGACGATGCCAACAAAAGGGAACCGACTCTAATTTATAAATATGGAGAATTGGAGTTTCTTTTCGTTGTAATTTTTTTTTAAATTAAAATTAAAAATAAAATACAATAATTGTATTTGTTATATTTGTTAACATTTGTGTAGTTATAAACTATTTTTATGATGTACACGAAATTATCACAAATTGTAAATTAAACTAGTCGTTAGTATTCACGGTTGTAACTCTTGCCCATGTCATAAGGTTTTTTTTCTATCAGTTACGCACAGATGTAACTGACAGGACACATGGGCATGGGTTCTGCCGTCCCAACTTAACTACCAAGGAAATATTAAGCAACTAGGGTTAGGCCAGACTAAAAAAAAAATCGGAGTTAATGGGAGTTGAATTGATAACAGGTTAAAGATAGTAGGTGCCATAAAAGACGTCATACTCTTTTTGAACGATTTTTATAAAAAAAACAACCCCCAGTGACCATCCATAAATTAGGTCGTGCGTCTTTTAGGTAGGACACATTTGTGTGACGATGTGTGACGAGGGGGAGGGGGGCGCTTAAGCAATGTGACGTCACATGAAAAGCGGAATATTGTAGTAAAGAAATTACATACATTTTTACCATTCTTTTATTTAAAAAAAAAAAATTAAACTTATTTTATTTTTAAACTATGATCACTGAGAGAGTAAGTACATGTATGCGAGGTCCGAAAATGGCATCTGATCAAGCTACAGAACGCCAAGGAGGAGGGGAATCGAGGTGTAGTTACAATGACAGTCGTGAGAATTTATATTTAAGTATGGACCATGGAGACGGGAGACTAATAAAATTAGGACTACCACTTGAAGTGGGATGGAACGAAAAAAGTGTTGACCGGGTGGGGAGCGGGGCTTGGGGGTGATCTTAGTAAATGCCCTAGGACAGAAATTCTTAAACTTTTTGCAGTGCTGCAGTCTCTATCCTTTTTAACCCCAACCCACACACACACAAACTGTATAAATGATATAGTAATAACATTTAAAATATGAAAATAATTAAATAATTTAGGTATCGTAGTTTATTTCTTCAATTAACGTTTTAGAAACAATGAAAAAATTACCAATAAAAGTAATGCCCCAACGTAATTCACCAGAAAAAAAATTACTGGTGCTAATCAAAATGCATAAAAACTGATTATTATTTTTTTTTTAAAGCAGCAAAAACTAGCTATAGAAGCAAATACAATTTTCTGGTCTTCCACACCTCAAGGCTGGGGAGGTACTTTTACCCCTGGTTAAGAACCATTGTGCTAGTGAATTGTTTCTGACACAGGTGCACTAATTTGATATCCAAGAGAGGTAAATTTCATAAGGGTTTGTAAAGGACAGTAGAGGACACAGGGAGATTCGTGACGTTATATTGGGGGAGGGGAGGGGCTAACTTTTTGTTACGATCAGAAAAATTTGCGTGAAGTCATTTATGGATGCCCCCACTCCCCAAAAATCGTCACAAATTTGTAACAAAAGCTCGACACTAGAGACCGGCCGAATTTAGGCTTCGGCTTCGGTTTCGGCGCCGCAAGTTGCAATTTAATCGCTTTCGGCCTAGTTTCGGTTTCAGCCGAATCAGGAAAGTTAACTTTCTGTTTAAATTTTGTTTCGACCGAAAGAGAAAAGTTAACGTTTTAATTTCGGTTTCGGCCGAAAGTGATTGAGGTTTTCGGTCATCTACCAGAAGTCTGTCTCTAGGCCGGCAATTCAATATTCGTAATTGCTCGACGTCTTACTGTCATTGTGTGTTACATGACCATAACTGCGAAAACTGATCACAGCTGCATTATGACCTACTTGTCTTTTATTTCCAAACATTAAATTTCAATTAGGCCTAGACAAATGTAAACAATTTTGTTGAAGAAAAAATAATGGAATGGTAATATTTATAGCATTATCTTTCTTTTAATTTTTTCAAAAATAAAATTTGAAACCCTAGGTTTATTCAATTCATTCATTTTGATTTATCATTATGCTCATCAATGTTGTCGTCAAAGGTAAGCTCGTGTGTAGTTTTATATTGTTGCGTCTGTTTTTAAATGTGGTAAATTTTAGATTGTTTTTTTTATTTCTCTTTTTAATATGGTTGACTTTGTACCGCGCTTCGAGCTTTTGGGGATGAAGCGTGTTTTTCGAATAAACTTTATTATTATTATGATTAATATTGAATAATCCTAGAGAATTTCAATATTTCCATTACTTTTTTTTAAAAATTAAAATTAAGGCAACTTAGGCTTTTTCAACTCATTTACTTATTTAAATTCATCATTATCATGCTGATAAACTTTGTTATTGACGAAATAAGATGCGTATGAATGTATCACGAGTTCGTATCATACTAATGTAGTCGGCCTACTGCAGACTGTTTACTTTTAGGATATTGGCCACAAATTAATTAGATATCTTTTGGGATTCTCGAGACCCGTCAAAACAAAATTTTAATAGACCGGGTTAAAAAAATGCCCCCCTTCCCCCCCCCCCCAATCAATGGGGGTGAGCGAGGTTGGTCGCCGAACGAAATTATTACGTCACCAGCACGAAATGATTAGTGTGTTAGTACTAGGCGAAATAATAATACAGCGATATCTTGCCAGGTATTAATGAACACACAAAGCATTTAGTCTTTAGTATGACAATAACCGCGGAACCCTTTGGTGATATTTTTATAGCCTTAATAACTGATATTTGGGTGACAGTTGGCTCTATTAGAGCCTTAATAATTATTGTAGGTATATGCCCTAGGTTGTAATTATATTATAAAAGCAAAGAGCACTCAATGGTCTATTTTGCATGAATTTCGCCCCCCCCCCCCCGGTCCAAATTTTATCTTACTATTCTACTTTAAAAAACATTTTTGACAAAAATAAATTATTTTTAAATTGAAATGGTAAAGCCAAAGTATTATTAATAATTATTGTAGGTATATGCCCTAGGTTGTAATTATATTATAAAAGCAAAGAGCACTCAATGGTCTATTTTGCATGAATTTCGCCCCCCCCCCCCGGTCCAAATTTTATCTTACTATTCTACTTTAAAAAACATTTTTGACAAAAATAAATTATTTTTAAATTGAAATGGTAAAGCCAAAGTATTTATTCGATGTTTATTTATTAATATTCACTTATAAAAAGAATGTAAATATTGATACTTTCCCCCATCATATTTCGATTTGTGCAGACTGTGTGCATGATCGAATTTCAAAAGATCAAGATATTTCGGCTTCGGTTTCGGCCGAAAGTCATTTTTTCGGTTTCGGCCGAAATCAGAAAATCACTTTCAGTCGGTTTCTACTTGACACACTCATCACACATGGTCACTAATTCGTGGGCGTTACCAATTCCTATCTAGATGTGTGACGTCATTCATGGATATTCCCCCATCTGAATACACTATTATTAAGTTTTTGTTATCATTGAACATGTAGACTTGCTGAGCTTATCCCGAGGAGACCCCAGTTGCTATATTTATAAAGTAGGCCACCACATTAATTTGTCAAAATAGTTCTCATTGCGAACCTGGAGGCAGGGTATGTGAGTGAAGTCGGTTCTTTGGGGATTTATGTATATTATAATACATAAATATTATCAGAGGCTTGGCTAGAGTGTTTGGTGCCCGGGAACAAGATTCCTTTTACGCCCTCTCTCAACTCTGAAATACATGTTTTTTTCATCAATAAATATCACCAAAAGCCCATTTTGGTTCCCCCAACTGTTCTGACGCCCGGGTGCATCTCTCCTCTCTGTCCCCATTGGATACGCCCATGCATTCTTATAAATGATGTGTGCCTGTTAGGGGAAGCACTTTGTGGAGTTCGCCTTAGGTGGCGTTTAGTCAAGGTACGCCGCTGGTCGGTCTTTCCAATATCATATTTTCTAAACCTGGCCAATGACTCGAATGTTGATTTTTCTGATCGGAAAAAGGAGATATAAATAATGTATGCTTGTCACGTTACCTGCACCATCCTGCACCCATGAAATAATCAAAAACTGGTTGCTTCACGAAGCTATCAATATCAAGTTAGTGGATAAACACATTTTAATGCGTCTGCTTTATAACTTCGGTAATAACTTCAACTACCCACCGACAACAGATTCCTTAGGTGATTCAGATTGGAATGGGATGGGACGCCAACTTCATCTCACTGGACAAATTAATTAGATCTAACTGTTAAATTAGTTTAAACATAAATACTATATTTGGAAACAAAACATAGAAATTGCATGTTTCGATACAGAGCATTTCAATTAATTTTTTAATGTGCCCATTACCAAAAAAGTATAATTGAATTCCATGTCAGAGACGAAGTTATCAGGATCGAAATTATATTTAGTTAGAATACTTTGTATAATTCTGATGCACAATTATTAATCAGTGCTGTTAATATATATATATTTTATTTTTTGTATATTTTTTTTTCTTTTAGGATATTTATAGGTTCTGTTTATTTTATTTCCATTTAGGTCACTAAAAAGTAAACAATCCATTCGCTAATGGCTTTTTGACAGAAAATAATCAAAATGAGAACAAAAAACATTGGCCAGTGTGGGGATCGAACCCACGACATTCGCGTTATTAGCACGACGCTCTAACCAACTGAGCTAACCGGCCAGGTAATTTAAATGACAAACTTTATTATATCTAAATTTAATTTATAATACTTAACAATTTAATTTTTCCTTTGAAAAAACTATATCTTAATTTAAAAGATTTACTTTTATTTTCCGTATGCACTAGAATATGTCATTTTTATATTCGTAATAATTTGTTCGAAACTAAACATGGTAGTCAACTCCAAAAATATATAAATTTTCTTGCTATCAAAATGATGTCCCTTGGCAAATTATTATTTATATTATATAAAGGTTTGTAAAAATTGTAACGTTTATCTTTGTTTTTGAAGATCCCAGATTTCAAAGGCTTTCATCTGATTTTAAATAATTTTCTTCATTCTTTTCACTTGGCACGTTAGGTTATAAGTTTTAAATAGCCAAATAGCTTATAAGATTTCATTAAAATAATTTTACTGATTGATATTTGATTTAAATAGTGACATGTTAAATGTTACCTATATTGTCAATATTGTCTATATACTATTTACTGTCGAATGCAAATATGTAGATGAAGAATGAAGATAAAGAAATAAGGGTTGCTACTTGATAGGTTATGGTTATATTAAATATATCTTCTTTTCTTGCAATGGAGTGACTAAAGTGGTGCAGGAAGTGTGTACGGAGAAGGGGTGGTCCGCTCCTGGTGACGCTTTTTTCGGCTTTCTTCAAAACGCCGGCCCCAAAAGTCGTATACTCGGTATACCGATATTATAATTTTCGGTAGAAAGTGCCAAACGGCCCCGATACATGGTGACTCAATAGTTTACGTCAACGATTCTGAATAAATGGAGTCTTCTTGTAGACTAATTGATTGCAATTAATATATTATAAACAAAAGGCTCCCATGGCCGGCAGACCGCAAGCGATTGTTCATATTGGAAATAATGTTTTAACAGGAAACATTATGGAAACGTTCGACACAACGCCGATGGCACTGTATGACAGCATGCATGATAGCATGCTTTATTAGTGTGGCTCAGGGCCAGGGGCCACCAAACATTTTTCACGGCGGGCCGGATAACAAACAAAATGTCGAGCGCGGGCCGTACGATCATTCTATTGGCCCTACACTATACAAGCCAGAACGAAAGCTCTGGGGAAAAGAAGACACAAAAAAACTAAGTTCAGTATAATCATAGTCGCGTGGCGTGCAATGTAGAAAAAAAAATTAGTCAACCAACATATTTTATTTACTAAAAAGAAAAAAGGTTCCCAAAGAAGGCGGCGTTAGCACAACGATAGTTGCATCAGATCTAGTGCACACGTGGTCGAATCTCACAAACTAAGCAGCCGACAAGGTTAGTGGGATTTATGAAACTGACATTTAGCTTTTAAGATTATCATCCATGTTTGGTTTGGAATTGCTGCATCCAATCAGGAGAATTGTTCATCAGTCACTATCAGGGTTTTTTTCAGGCATCTCTCCGGGGTGGCACTTCCCCCCCCCTCCCCGAGCAAAATGGGTAAAAACAATACAATGATTATATTATTTTTTTTAATTAAAAACGACTACATTGTCATTTTTACACAGTTTTAAAAAGACTATTATCTGGTGCCTTTATCCGATTACAATTCGTGATTTACCAGTGTTTTGAATTTGGACCAGGCGACAGGCGATTTATCAGTGTTTTGAATTTGGACCAGGCGTTTTACCAGTGTTTTGAATTTGGATCAGGTGATTTAGCAGTGTTTTACATTTGGACCCGGCGTTTTTCAAGTGTTTTGAATTTGGACCAGGCGATTTACCAGTGTTTTGAATTTGGACCAGGTGTTTTACCAGTGTTTTGAATTTGGACCAGGCGATTTATCAGTGTTTTGAATTTGGACCAGGCGATTTAGCAGTGTTTTGAATTTGGACCAGGCGTTTTACCAGTGTTTTGAATTTGGACCAGGCGTTTTACCAGTGTTTTGAATTTGGACCAGGCGTTTTACCAGTGTTTTGAATTTGGACAAGGCGTTTTACCAGTGTTTTGAATTTGGACCAGGCGATTTACCAGTGTTTTGAGTTTTGAATTTGGACCATGCGATTTACCAGTGTTTTGAATTTGGACCAAGCGATTTACCAGTGTTTTGAATTTGGACCAGGCGTTTTACCAGTGTTTTGAATTTGGACCAGGCGATTTGCCAGTGTTTTGAATTTGGACCAGGCGATTTGCCAGTGTTTTGAATTTGGACCAGAATATTTACCAGTGTTTTGAATTTGGACCAGGCGATTTAGCAGTGTTTTGAATTTGGACCAGGCGTTTTACCAGTGTTTTGAATTTGGACCAGGCGATTTACCGGTGTTTTGAATTTGCACCAGGTGATTTACCAGTATTTTGAATTTGGACCAGGCGTTCGGGAGAGTGTAATACACTGTGTACTGAGGTACGTCGTTTCTTCGACCAATTGAAGAGTTTCTGTTTTGAAAAGGGGGGGGGGGACATGTAGCTTTTCCCGTCCCGGCGGCACCAATTCTAGCTACGCCAAAGGACCAACATCTTCAAAAAATGTCATTATTCTTTGGGGTGTTTAAAGTAATCTACCGGTAATATTTTCAGAAAATGTTGGGGAGAAGGAAGTGATGAGTGGATGCTATTTTTAAAAAAGTTTAGACTGCACTATGAAGGAAATAAGGAAATTACTTGTGATACGGGCGTAGAAAGAGAGCGTAGAGGATGCGATCCGTCCTGGGTTGCATTTATTTTGGGGCGGCCTTTTCTGTTCACTTAAATACTTAATAGTATAGCTTATTTTTTTATGAACATTCTGCAAACTCTAGGACCATCCCTGACGTCATAAACTCTACCATACTGGAGAGCTGTGTGGGTTTTAAAATATTTAAGTTTTCACGTCCAGTGATTCAATATTGATTTTAATTTATTTTTCTTTTACTTAGTGTTAGTTAATTCATGTACGGTTAATATGGTATGAGTTGAAATGACCTATGGGATACCAAATTTTGAGATTCACTGCATCTAAAGGGTCTCAAGTGTGTGACATCCAGTCCCACCTACGGGTTGTTTGTCACATGGAGTATGTAGGTTGTAACATAGTGGTGAGTAAGTTGCCACATCATGTTGGGTAGGTTACCACATCATGTTGGATAAGTTTTCACATAGAGCTTGCTCTCTTCCACTGAGTAGTGTTTAGTCTCTTCCACTGAGTAATGCTTGGTCTCTTCCACTGAGTAGTGCTTTAAATTAGTCTCTTCCACTGAGTAGTGCTTGGTCTCTTCCACTGAGTAGTGCTTGGTCTCTTCCACTTAGTAGTACTTTGTCTCTTCAGCTAAGTTGTGCTTTGTCTCTTCCACTGAGTAGTGCTTGGTCTCTTCCACTGAGTAGTGCTTGGTCTCTTCCACTGAGTAGTGCTTGGTCTCTTCCACTGAGTAGTGCTTGGTCTCTTCGGACAATTGTAGAGATTTTGTCGTTGAAGGGTGTGTCAAAAAAATTGGGCCGTCCGTGGCAGAATTAACCCTAGCTACGCCACTGCTTGTAAATAGTTATTCTAATGCGTACACGTGAATACCAAATTTTATTTTAAAAATGGAGCAAGCTTTATGACTGCGTCAGCTAGCAGAAATGTGATGTAAAGGATCCCCACTGTCTATCTAATGAAGCTTTTTGGTGTTGCAGGGCTCTGAGTGAAGGGAACGTTCCTACTATGAATATCAGCAGCAGCATCACCCCCGTTATCTCCACCACTATCACCACAACTGTCACTACCATCGCCTACACCACAATATCAGAGGACAGTATCTACTGGCCACCAAAAATGACACTCCTTCCAGGAAACACCAGGTAGTTGAGCTACAGGTCAAGCGGCGTAACCAGGGGGTTGGGTTCACGGGGGCGCCCGCTAGGGCACACGGTCTTGGGAGGCATAAAACATTTCTTTTAAATTCGTATTTATTTCAGCAAAGATATTCATGGATATGGACTTAATAATTTGTGGGGTGAAAAGAGGGGCTGGGGGGGGGGGGGTAGCTTTAACAATTGGCGTACCGGGGAATGGGGGTAAATATATTACCAATATTATTTGATAGTCAGTGTGGGGAATCATTTTTGGGAGTTGACCTCGGGCGACATTTTAATTTTCAGGGTCATCTCAGGCCAAACCATGTCTTGATCAGTTTGGCAATACTGGGAGACTCATACCAGCATAAACGTTAAAAGCCCGATCAAAAGCCGCGAAGACTTAGAATGTGTCTGTTCATGTTTAGTCTCGGGCCTTTTGGCATACATTTTTATAGTCATATAAGTTAAATTATCATTGCGATATAGTAAATAGAAGTGGTTGGGACCATACAAGGATGAATCTGAAAACACTTTTACTTGCAATTTGCGGTCTCTAAATTACTCCTATCTAAGCCTGGTCAGGTTGGCTGACACACACATACATATATATCAATGGGGGGGGGGGTTAACACTAAAATCCTTCATTGGATTCTCTTCGTGGGAGCGAGGCGCTGCTCTCTCTCTCTCTCTGCTACCCCTTATCCAAAATAAAACTTGATGCCATTGATGTATAGATCCAGAACTTTTTTTTAAACGTGTGAATATATTTTATATTTTTTGAAAACTATACTATTTGTTTTATTTGTTTCCATTCTATGATTATGTCTTTTATTATTTCCTCAGGAGTGCGCTGATGCGTGCTTTGCTCCTGAACTTTCCTTCCTACTCGTTACGAGTGTCCATGGTTCTACTTCTCGTACTGGCCACACTCGTTCTATACCACATGCTCAATCATGTTCTCAAGTAAGTGGTCTAATGGCTTGTGTTAAGCTCCATACACTGACATATGAAGGGGAGGGGGGCAGAGTGGTGGTCTCGCCCGGGTTCAGTGGGGTTTTTTATGCATCTTTCCGGGTGTCCACCAATGTTCCCTCTAAGGTTTGTTGGTTCGTGTGCAAAATCATACAGTTGTGTGCAAAGTTTTACAGCTCCAATTTTTTTGTGCTCAAAATTTTACAGCCCATAAACACCAACACACACTTAAATGAAAATTTGCTGCACAAATACTCAAAACTGCTACGCGGCGTCTGTGAGATTGCTGCGCAGTCGCGCAGCTTAAAGCGAACATTGGTGTCCACCCCCAGTGACTCAAGTACCCCCCCCCCCCGAGAATAATGTGTATAAAAAAGCGAAAATGTATTGTATAAAAAATCGAATAAATTGTCATTTGTATACCATTTTTAAAAAGAATAGTAACTGATGCATTGAACCGATTAAAATTAGTCAGTTTTAGTGGAGCTAATTTGTTCTTATTGCAGTTATTGTGTATGAGGCTTGAATGATGGTAAAACCCATGCCGATGATTTTAGCTATTCAGCCGTGAGAAAGCTGCTCCAAGACAACCGTTTCGTCCCAACCGAAAGACTCCTTTGGCGGTGGGAGGTTGGTAATGCCACATCATTTCCCCCGGAGTTGAAGCAAACCGGCCCAAACCCACAAGGAGAGTCGGCTGCAAACGGTTTAAACGCAACGTCTTCGGTCGACCGGGCGGGGAGTATTAAGAGCTCACGCTCGACCGCCCACCGCCACAGTTTTCCCAATGTGGCGCATTTATTGGAACTAATGAAATATCGATGCGCTCAATATATATACAGACCTGTTTACCCCATAAGCTTTCGCCGTAGTAACTACATTTTTAGGCGTAAGACTGCGGCACTAAGCGAGCCTTAAAAACTATGGTTTCGGGAGTTTTTTTTTTAAAGTCTTGGTTTAATTTTTAAAAATAAAATAATTGGCGTGCTTTCAGCAAAAAGTTACCGTATATTTTGTGTTAATGCCGTAAGTAATCAAATAAGAATAATTGTGATTGGCCTTTGTGGCCTTGGATCTCAATAGACCAACCAGAAAATTATATTTTAGAGAATAGCATTGTTAAGACTTAACTGCCAATGTGCTTGCCTGAGATCTTTTCACATCCTTAAGACACAAGCACAGGACATTATCCTGTATAATTATTTGTGTTTACTGATTTATGCAGTTTATGCAGGACTTCCTTACACAACTTGTATTTTGATTGCAAACCAGCGCTTTTATTTGAAAACCGCGCCCCCCCCCCCCCCCCCCCCACACCTTATTGACCAAACTACTCTTTGGAGCTTGAAACTACGTGTTTGAGAGCTGAAAACTATGCCGACACTAACCCAGGGGTAAACAGGTCTGTATTTTATGATGATCCGTGCTCTGGAGGAAGTTGTCTAACACGCTTTGTGTTACGATCCCTTTCACAATACTCCTTCTATTTCACATACCCAATTGCCTTTATTGAGTCTAATGCCAAATGCCTTCTATTATGCTAGTTCTTTATCAATCTTGTTCTTGGAGACTTTTCTAAATGCAGTGTTTTGTCTCTAGGCTGATAATGGATGTGAGGAGAATGGCCATGGAGCTCAGTCAAGCAAGTGTCAAGCTCAATACCATGAGGCCAGAATCCCACGCGATGATGGGAAAGCCCGACTCTCCGGTCGACCGCCCACCCTCTAGAACTGGACCCAGCGAAATCGAACTTCCGTGATGGAGTTTACCGTCGTAGATCGGGATACGTCGATGATTTTGAGGGCGAATGTCGCTAAACAGTTCCTGGGTATACTACAATGATTTTGAGAGCGAACGTCGCTAACAATTCCTGGGCTATCGCTGCTCAATGTTTTTTTTTTGTTGTTGTTGTTTTTTTTTTGTTTTTTTTTTTGTTTTTTTTTTTTTTTTTTTTTTTTTTTTTTTTTTTTTTTTTTTTTTTGTTTTTTTTTTTTTTTTTTTTTTGGGGGGGGGGGGGATACACCACAAGGAGGCGCGTTTATGTTAACAATATTTTATTTAATTTACGTTTTTATTATTTTCATGTTTGTATTGTTAATCTACTTGAAGGCAATAATCGATACGCAATCAGTTAACATCTACAGTTTGTGGGTGATTGATTTTTATTTGATTGTTCATATATTATTTTATTTTTTATATTATTATTTTAGCTATATGATGTATAAAATTATAATAAAAGTTTATAGACATCAGGGTGATAACTTCAAAGGTTGTCATTTTACCTTGTCATACGAATATTTGGTGACTTCATTCATCAGTTTATTTTCATTAACAAAAATACTGACTTATTGTCATATGTCGGAGTTAGAATTAATTATTTTTTTAACCCTTCGTCGAAAACTGTTACGTGTTAATTTTTATATTCCTAGAATACTAAGATTACACAATGTAAACAATGGGATGTTAACAGTTTTTCGAACTTCATGTAAATCTTTCTACTTCATGGTATTATTTTATTTTGAATGAAGAAAAAAACCAAGTAAAATAAACATTTTACAAATTAAATGTGTTGTCATTTAATTAGGTGTTGTCCAATAATGACCTAATGAATGTCTTGACGGAGTAGATTTGGGGGAAAACAAGATACAGTTTTGGTTCCAATGAGGCGATGTCATGCATGAGTACTCGGGTTTTTTGTTTTTGTTTTTTTTTTTTTTTTTTGTTTTTGTTTTTTTGGGGGGGGGGGGGGAGTAGCGAGGGTTAGTGCCGCACGGGGCAGGTCTAGCTTTTTGCCGCCCCTTTCCATGAAAATCGTCTGCATGAGTTGGCCAAAAGTGTCGCCCCGGGCGGACTGCCCTCCTATCAACCCCCTTCCTACGCCATTTGTTAGACACAAAATCAATTCTCTTATAGTTACTTCCTTCACATATTAATTCGGCTAACATAGCTGTAACGTTTATGATTAAGTGGTTACATTTCTTCAGTGCAAGTGATGACTTGCCCAATATAACCATCTGATTCACATTTACAGACGATTCTTTCTTTCTTAGCCAGGAAGTAACAAGGTCCAATGAACATTACATGGTACTTTATTAAGATATTTGATAAATACATCACATGGTTCCTTGACATCAGAATAATCATTAGAAAGATTATAGTTGCAATACGAAGAATAAATATCCATACACACAACACTTTATCTAATAATTAATTCATTAAATCCATTCGAAAATACAACATGTGAACCTGCCACATCAAAATTATGTCCTCTATCCTTTTTACTCAAAAACTTGACTTTTGTTATGTCTCTATTCTTTAATGTCTTTATCTTTCCAATCACTAACAAATCTTAGTGTCGTGCGAATATTCAGTGTCATGTTTATAATTAACAGGGTATTTTATTTACCGTATACGGAAATTTGTTTGAAAGAAATTTTGTCGATGGACGTTTGATCGAACGGAAATTTGATCGAATTTTATTATCAGTTCACGCGATCAAATTTTGACGAAAATTAGATAGTGCGAACAGAAGAAAAAAATTTGATCAAATTTCGGTTCGACCCAACTTCCTTCGATCGATTTTCCGTCGACGAAATTTCTTCCAAACAAATTTCCGGTAACCGCTACATACAATAACATTCTCCTTCTGGCAATGAGGAGTCGTAGAGACAGAGTGGCTAAAATTTACAGAGGGTGCTAGTGCTAGACCTGGCCATACAGGGTAACAAAGATCGCCCTCCCCAAACTAACTATATGTCAAACTATTAGTTTTATATTGTGAAGTGTATTTCTACTTCCTAAATCAACCTAGGAAATAGTAGGACAACTTATGTGGAAGATTAAATCAAAAGGCAGCAGGAAATGAACGTTTTCGGCCAAGACTTTGCCGAAGACGTAGAGCTTTCCATGGCAGACAGGACAAAGGAAAGAAGGACACGAAATTCTAAGAAATGGAGAACAGTTAAAAACTTAAGTGATCGCTATTGTTATTGGCAAAAGTTGGATTTTTCAAAACCAAGATTACAGGAAGTGAAAGAATATATGTTTGTTAATGTGAAAAATATGGTTTTAAATCTTAACGGACAGAAATATTTTGGAGATATATAAAAATATAAGAGAAACGAAAAGAAAAAGGATGCAGGGAAATTGAGAATCATTAATAGAACTTACAAGAGTATTTGATTAATTTCATATGGTGGCATTGTGACGAAAAGCTGAATAACATTTGTTTTCCATTCTAACTCTCTGGTGTGTTGGTACAGGACCTCAGTGCCGTTATGGATACATCTGATGTCCCTTTATGTTAATCCTAAATCAACCTAATAAGATACATACAGTAATGGAAACATTTATTAATATTTCTAATTCTTTTCTATTGGAAACAACCCATGGTTTCAAGCTGCTAGAACATTGGCCAACTAATTACTGTGCAACTAACTACCAAGCATTTGTACTGTGAGTTTTATCCAACTAATCACTAAGAACTGCCTAGCTCTTGTACTCTTGACCAACTAAGCATCGTGCAACTGCCTGGCACCATTTAACAAAATAGAGTTTTTATTTATAAAATTTCCAACAGCATTTCTCTTTTAAAAATCAGAACAATAAACAATCTGCTCTACCTATTTATTGCACACTTTTTAAAGACGAGATGCCAGTCAAATTTAAAAAAATAAAATTAAAATAAAATTGTGAACTTGCATTATGGTTATCAATTATACCAATTCTATTAATTTTTTTTTTACTAGTTTTAGAAACAATTCTTTTGGATTTCGTAAACAAACTATGTTAAACTATGTCTAAGAGGCAATTTGTAATTGATCTGAAGAAAGTTACAGTAGTTTGGAATTCCAAATAAACATTTCAATCACCTGAACTTTGGGAAATGAATAATTTGTTCTTGTACGATTTCCCTCAGATAAAAGTGCACATTATTATATGATGTCTTTTGTAAACATCCCATGTCTTCTTAACCTAATTATGCCGTTAATATACGCTTTATAAAAAATTATACGTTTTGAAAACCTTTCTACAACAGAGTGTGTGTTTTTTTCTTTTTGACTCTGGTAAAATTTGGAAATATTCAGGAAAGGTAATACTATTATAAGAAAGTTGTTCTGTTTGTTTTAATATATATTTGCGTTCAACATGTACAATGATGTTAACGGTAATTTCTTTAGTGGTGGAACTCTTTATAGAAGTAAAATCCACACAACTATGCAGTAATAGAAAAATAAATATTTGTATAACACAAGCGATAAACATTTCAATCAACTGAAATTTGGGAAATTTATCATTCATTTCCCCTAAATCGCATAAACATATTTTGTCTTTTGTAAACATCTAATGTCTTCTTAAGATGATAATGTCATTCAAATACGAATATTAAACATAACCAGTTTCAAAACCCGATTAAAATGTACCTTTCAACTCAAAGGTTTTAATTTGTTTTGTTTTTTAGTATGGTAAAACATGGAAGTATGATCAAAGGTAATTGCTATACGTTAGTTTTTTTTATTTTGTTTGGTTGTTTGTTTGTTTTGTTTTGTTTGTTTGTTGTTTTTTTTTGGGTGGGGGGGGGTGTGTTGTTTTTTTTTACTATCGTTCAACAAGTATAACGGTGTTATCAGGGCTTTTTGTGATGAAACCTTTTGAAAGAAATGTTTTGTTTAAAAAATCATTTATTAATTAAGATAGTTTACACCGAACGTAGTTCAAATAAAAATTTAAAAAAACACATTTAGCTAACTTAAAAAAAAAAAAAAAAAGATTTAATACAACCAAGTCAAGCAGAGCAGTTGCTTGACTTTTCGAGGCCCTCTTCCTTTTTTTCTGTTTTTTCCTCCTCCCCCCCCCTCCAACCCAAACTTGCATACAAACTGATAGCTTTAAAAAAGTGTCCACGTCATAACTTTAAAAGCTTACAATATTCCAAACCCCTTGAAGTCGGCAGCGGCGTAGCGAGGGTGTTTGGCACCCGGGGACAAGATTCGCGCCCGGGGACAAAATCCATTTTAAAGCGCCCCCTTTTTCTTTTTTTTCAACTCTCAAACCCATTATTTTCATCAATAAAATAATATCAAAGCACATTAATAAATGAAAGAAATGAATTTCTATGAGAAATATAAAAATATAAAGAAAAAGAAAAAAGAAAGATAATGGGCCGGAAACATGGCATACTTCAGTAGTCACGAAATACTCAAAGGTAAAACATTACAAGAAAAACTAAACAAAATATATCAAACTATAATCAGAACGTACGCAAGTGAAACTTGGACGGCAGAAAACCTATTAAACACATAGGAGAGCAAAGTTCTACGGAATATGAAAGAACCAACAAAGGATGAATATGGATAGAGAATACGATCCAACAATGAAGCAATCCACCAACTGTATCAGGATCCGACGCTAGTCGCAGAAATAATTACACAACCCTAAAAACATAGTTTTTTTTTTCGTTTAAATCCTTTATAAAATGTAATATTGAGCAATGAGGGGAGGGGCTGAAAATTTGACAAAACATGCATACAATTAAAGCACTTCATAAGAATCCCAATTAGTGCTTCCTCCCACCCCCACCCCCCAAAGGCTCGCAAAGGCACATTTTTTCACACCCCTGAACTACATTAACATTCTAATGACCCACCCACTTTAACACCGCAGATCTATTTCACCAACTATTTCAGAAAAAAACAAAAGAAAATATTACGCACCAAACGCACTTGGGATATTTTTAAAAAAAAAAAAATCTAATTTTAATTTAGCGCAGTTGGGAATTTTATTTCGTGAAATCATATGTTCTTCATCTTCCCCTTGAAAAACAGATTTTATGAGGTTGGGGGTAGGGCTCAAAATTTCAAAGAATGTTTTTTAATTGCTAATGAGTCTATTTGCCAAGTTTCAGCTCGATCGGTAGATGGGAAGTGGTTCACTTAGCCATCCGAAGGTCTACCAGCCACCCACCCAGCCACAAACAAAAGTGAAGTTAATAGGCCTATAAAGGATTTTTTTTAAAGGACAGCTTACGCTTAGAGGGACAATTAGAAAGTTGTTGAGTTAGGGCCTGAAAATGTATATTCATTGATACAAAAAATTATTGTTATAGTTATAGGTTTATTCTAAAGAAAGTGTTTTTTTTTCGTTTATTATTTTGTGATAAATGTTAATTTAGTTAATGGGAATATTAGTAAAATATAAAAGTGACTGAAATAATTTAAGGCAGACATTTGAGATAGATATTTTAAAAAAGAGCAATAAATTGGCACTATTTAAGGAATTGGTGAAGATAACCACTACAAACCATATATTTAAGTGATGGTTAAAACATTATCCAAACAGACTTCAACAAATAAAATCTGCGGTTCTCAAGATGAGTTCATTGATATTTAAAATAAACGACAAATTTCTTTTTGTCATATTTGAATATGAACACAACATAAACAATATTCTCCAAAATTTAGGGTCTCGTATCAAATTGTTCGTATTGAAAAAGGGGGGGGGGGGGGGTAGATTTTGGATGGGGGAACTTATGTGTCCTTAAAAGTAATGTTTTTTTTCTCCGAGAGCAAAATCTGATTTTAAAAATGTACAATATTCAGATTATAGTATAGTAGTAGTGAGTCCTTCTAGCATTAAAAAAAAAAACAAAATAATCTGAATTTTCCCAATATTGGTGTACCGTATAACTTTATTCGTACTGAAAAAGGGGGGGGGGGGGAGTAGATTTTGGATGGGTGAACTTATGTGTCCTTAAAAGTAATGTTTTATCTCTCCGAGAGCAAAATCTGATTTTAAAAATGTACAATATTCAGATTATAGTATAGTAGTAGTGAGTCCTTCTAGCATTAGCATAGATTTTCAAAAAGTTTATTTCAATTTTATAAACTTTCTGTTAAGTGTAGCTTTTGTTTCTCGTAGAAATGTACATTCATTGCAGTCAGTCTTTACTCTTTTAGGCGACTACGATTTATATGAATCTGTTAAATTTTTTGCCTGCTGGACGTATGCTGTATTTGTCATTTCTTCCGACAATCGACGTCTTTGATAAATTTGTAATCAAAATTATAAAAACAAGTCCTTTTCTTTCTTTCTTTTTTTTAAAATGTGCACTGTAGGTTGTCACAAAAAAGTTTCTAAACGGAAAAAAATAAATCCCTGAAAAACAATAAAATACAAATTTTGAGCCTGCTTAAGTATTAAGCGACTTAAATTAAATTGTAGGCTTGTCTTAATTATAATTTGATATATTTTCCAAAAATGTCTTGATTAAAATGGGGAAATACTATATTGTTCAGCATCCAATTCTCTTCAAATTATACATCACACAACCTATTTAACAAAGAAATGAATACGAACCGCATATTTTCCCAACGCAAATGCAGGGTTTACATATTTTTGAGGTGGACCAAAAGTTGAAAAGGGGTACGTAACTCTGCAATGATTTGACACTAGCAGAAAACTGATTTACCCAAATTATCGGATGATCCGCCCGCGGTCGTTATTGTCAAAACCTAGTTACGCTACTGGTAATCTGTCTTCAGATTATAGGCACTATAGTCTATAGCAGTATAGGCATAGGCTTATTGTAATATTGATTATTAATCATTATTATTCAATTATTAAAATGTTGCTTACTTTTGATCTTTTGCAACTTACTCTTTGACTTTGGCTTAAAATTAAAAGATCTAAATTAATAGAAGTCAACTGTCGATTGAACTATTATTGAAAACAGACTTACTTTGTATCATAGTATCATATAAATAAAGCATTTCAGAAATAATTTTTTGCGAACTTTCCAAAGAATTGTTCGTTATATTTTATTATTATTGATATTGTTTTGTTTGTTTTTTGTTTTGAGAATATTGAGATTGTCACAGTTTGTGATAATCAACGATAGTACATCCAAATTTAATTGCTTTTTAAAGTCACCTTACATGAGGGGGAAAAAATAAATTTTCGCATTGCCACACAAGATGATGTAACACATTTACCAGTTAGAAGAGAAATATTGTCACGCGCCCACGTTATTCCGCGTTGCCATGGTTTCTGGACAAAAACACTGAAGAGAAAACGTTGATTACGTATGCAAATACGGTAGCGCCCTCTAACAAATCACGTGACACAAGTGTTATGGCTGAACAACACTCGTCTGCAAGGCGTCGTGTTGTTAATGTGTGAGAGTGATCTACATGCTTCTAATATCAATTTAATTAGAACTTTTCCGCGTCACGTCTTACAGCAGACCAGTAATTGGAATATCCCTTTTTCTCATGGTTACTTGTTACGTGAATATAAACCTGTTCTTCTCTAAAACATGCCTCTCTTCGGCAAGAAAAACAACGATGCCGAAAAGAAATTAAAAGAAAGTGATATTCGGCGGAAGTACGAGTTCAAAGACACACTTGGAACGTGAGTAATGAATAAAATTGAAATAACAGTTATGTGTTTATTTTGTAAACGAAATTTAACTAAAAAAGAATATGACCCGATGGTATAATCAAAAGAAATAGTAGATACTAAAGTTAAAAGGAAATATTATATTATTCTAGTTGGAGCGCTAAAAAAGCGCGCCTAGGTCCACTTAACGAGTAAGTAGCCAATACTGCGAGAATACTAGTATGACTATACTATGTTATGTCAGTAACTATTCACTAAGAAGACAATACGCCAAAACCAATATCTATCTTCCGCTAGTGCCCTACCTAGCCATAATTAAAATCCCTATGACTGAAGGCCTATAACTTATGTAACTGATCTAAAAAAAATTAACCGCCGGGCTAACTTAAAAAAAGAAAAAATTAATTTAATTATTTTAAGCTGTTTAAGGCTTAAGTTTAAAATTTAAGGTTAATTATTAATAAATAATTATTATATTAATATTAATAATACATTCCAACCTGGACTAATAAAAATAAAATTCATTATTAATATTAACTAAATGATTAAATATAAATGCTATGCTTTACTATAATACTATAATTATAATAATATTAATATAAAGGCCTATGTAGCCTGTTATAATAGTTAATTATTAATAGTATATAAATAATAAATACAATACAACTTTACCTCATACTCATATTCATGTAATTGGTCTGAAGTCTATGACTATACCTGGGCTAACTTTAATTAAATTATTTTAAGTCCAGTTTTAAGATAACTAATTATTAAACATCCCTACCAGACAAACCCCATTTTAAGCATAATTTTTTTGTGTGCCCAACCAATATAAATATAATATAGTATTATTAGTATATAGTCAATATAGTGTATAATTAGTATATTATATTATAATATTCTAATACTATCAATACACAGACCTAGTGTCTAAAATTTGTATAGCTGAAAATAATTTCTGAAATAGTAGAGTATTGTAGGCTAGACTCTTCTGCATGTCACCATTTTCAACAAAGAAATAAGCTCATATAGTTCTAAGTTTGTATTGAAGATAGCGTTACTAAAGTTTTCATGGAATCATTGTTTTAATAAAAGAATAACTAGCCCATGCCTATAGAATAAACCAAAACCTAATACCTAAGCTATGTTAAATTATGTTTTTTTTGTTCTTATGAATGATAACTGTATCATTTTAAAATAATTGTGTGTATAAAAATTACTAGATACTTGATATTCCATTTCTATAATCTGGCCTAGTCATAACGCATAGTATTTAACTGTCATAGAACTTAATCTTTGGCTAGTCATTGATTGAGAATCCTGGGCTGTATATGGTTAACTAATTTTAAGTTTTGGAACTCTTTTTGACTCTATGATGGTACTATTATATATTTAAATATAAAATGATTCATTTTGAAATAAGTATAAAGTCTCAAAGAATACTATCACCAATCACTGGTTAAAGAGCCATGGAAGGTTAAACTATTAACAGGCATTGGAGCAGAAGTTTATAAGTTGGCTCAGGCTCCATTAAAATTTCAGGCTCTGGCTCCGAATAATAAAACAAATAAAAATAAATGTACATATAACATAGTAAAACATTTTTTATTATATTGAAAGGAAAATAACTTAATTAAGTTTAATAATGCTGGTATAACTTTATTAATCAGCAAAATCTTGATTTATCCCCAGAAATAAAATATTTTCCAAAACATCTGGTTTAAACGAAGAAAGTTATTCTCCAATGTTCTGTTTGCGCCTTTGAATATACATACGACAATACAAAATACACTAAATATGAGATGGCATTATTTATTTTTTTTGGGCTGTTTTAACTGTTGGAGAAATGCGCAGGATCAAAAGATAATGTCGAGAAACAAGAGAATTTTGATCTCCTTCTTTCATTTTTATAATGTAATTCTGTTTAAGACCAATTTTTGGTGGTGATTTTTTTGTTCATGTACTGTAAACTGGAAAGATCATCCCACATTTAAATTATTAAAAAGAGAAATTAATTTAAAAAGCACTTAACAACATTCGTTGTTGGAATAGAAGATTTGCTATGGCGCTGGAGCCAAATATGTCAACAATTATTTTGGCTCTACTACAAGGGAAAACACTAGCTCCGAGCAACTCTCCTAGAGCTGGCTCCAATGCACTGGCTGTTAAATGCAGTTATTTAGTTAAAAAATTCTTACTGCATAGTTTGAGAGAGTCATGCACACAATAATAATGAGTTTAAAGGCAGGTCATCCCAAATGCAAACCTGGCACTGACCTTATCGTGAGAGGAACACAAATATTGTTAACTCTAAAAGTATGTTTTAGGGAACTTGTCAAATTTTTAACAAGGACGTTATACTTTTACTTAAAAGACTAATGAATCATTACTTATCTGTCAAACATGGCTCTAAACAAATTGTTTATTTGGAGATCAAGGGGCTATCTTAAAGTTTAAAAGTTATATTTAAAAATGTATTTTCATTTAATGCTTATTTTCGCAAGCTTGGGTAAATTTATTTTATATGGTTAGGGCTGATTCATATTTTGCAAATATTCATAAACTGCTTAATTCTTATCGTCTTGGTCAATAAAATATGTGGTGGTACTCACCCTTCATTTATAGATGGGCAGGACACTATTTATAAACTCATTATTTGAGCTTAATTTAGTGATTACTATTCAGAGATTTAAAACTAACATTTTCTCATGACACATTATTTTAAAAGATGGTGAAAAATCAACATTTCATAGCCATTATATAAATTGCCTACTAAATAAAGTTAATTAGGCCTTTATGGGACCATATCATTGTTTTCTCATAATTTATATATTTGTTTATACCAGGTAATATCATAAAATGATTTCCATGAGTTTTTGTCATATTTCATATTGTATCGTTTTCTTGATAATCTTAATACTGTGGCTTTTTGTAGTCCATTATGTAACAATTAAATTTTCCTTTAAAATTGAAGTTGCATGTGTTAATATATTAATATATCCCATATGGATTTTCCTGGTTATCTACAGCAGTTTTTGACTTATTAGACTTATTATTGACTTATTTCTGAATAATTATTTCAGAAAAGTAAATGGCGAAAATAATGATGAAAATTCTTAGTCATGTAGAGTGTCGCCAGAATTGAATTTTTTTTTCTTGGCTAAGTTTTAAATTTCTTATTTTAGAAAACACAATTACCACATAATTTGTATTAGGTACTAAATAAATTGTTTCAAACTTTGCTGCCATTCCCAATTTTTGCTTCAAAAGTTCAAACCATAATGGTATTTTAATGAAAGTATGGTTAATAAATTTAATTATCCAGCAGATCATTTGATTGCTGATTCTGTAAGTCATGATTATATATGAGACTCCATACTGCCTGTTGTCACTGTCTAAAGATTATAAAGTACAATATGATTACTGTGGTTAGCAGAATGTTGGGTTGATCAGAGTTATCCAGCATCCTCTGGTGACTTATTGAACTTATTGATTTCCTGTGTGGGCACACTGTTAGCATCACTTGGTGGGCATCTTGTCATTGACACACAGTGCCTGGTCTTATTTCATCAAGTTTTTGTCATTTGTTGTGCAAAGGTTAATATCACATTTTGAGTTTGTCTATCTAGGCATCAGCTCACAGACGTAGCTTATTCTTTTCTTTTTGTTGGGGGGAAAAAGTGTGTCTGTGTTGAGGAGTGGGATGCTTAGCTGACTAACATGTGGAATATTATTTACATAGTACACAGGTTTTAGAACAATTGCTTCTCTAACATTACTCTTTTTCTCTCTCTCTCTTCCCCCTCCTCCAACTCATACACTCCAAAGATCCCGCTCTTAAATAATTTAATATGCATACTTCATTCTTTCTGTTAAGAAAAATGTTAGTTTAGATTTTTCAGCCGCACACACTGAATTAAATACGCACCCACTGAATTAAATACACACTTTTTCTCTTGAAAATCCAATGGTTCAAGAAAACAGCAACTTTGAATGATTAATGTTAAAAGTGATACATCACACCAAAAAGCTTTTTATTTTTTTTATTGTTAAACCCTCGATAATAACCGAAGTGAAGTGCATCTCGTTGTTCTTATTGTTGCAACAAATCCCCAATTTGGTTATGTAACATTTTTTTTAATGATATTGTCAACGGACAGGCAATACACGCTATTAGAGCATGGGCCCGTTAAACGCATTTAACATAATTTTGTCCTTTACCGTGAAGAACCTATCTTAAATTTAAGCACCTTGCGATTTCGTATACCGTACTTTTCAAAACATCTAAAAGTTTGGCATGTGATTAAATGTTACTTTCGGGAGAAATATATTTTAAGTATGCATTTAACTGTTTAGTAATGTATATTATCGTTATGGATACGTTATATCTATCAGGATGACTGGTGTAGCTTCTTGTATGGCTTATAAGTTTGATCCTGGAGTGCAATCTCTTTTATACTTTGCGTAGTTTAAAAATTATTTTTATTCAGTGACGTTCACATTTCGCATACGTCTTTGTAGCGAAGATGCGTCCGTCCTGAAGGCCTTGTGACATGAACCAGTTCCATTTACGTTCTCAGCTACTGCTAGGAATTACACTGGATAACCATGGTTGGAGGCGAGTCTACTTCTTGCACCACGAGTCTTCCTTTGGCTGATAGTCCAAACTTCTTCATGGTGTTTTGAGAGGCACTCAGGCTACATCATCAGTAAACAATTCACGAAAGAAAGAACCTTTGTTAAGTTAGTCCCTACAGTATCAAAATAATATTTCACAAAAATTAGCAATGAAAATGTATTAATGTGTTGAAAGTTGAATTTGTCAGAGAAAAGAATTAGAATAATAATATTCCGGCTTAAAATTTTTTCCAAGGAATAGTTATCTATGTCAGAAAAGCGCTTTTCCCAAAATGCATAAAAACTGTGTTGTAAAGGAAAATATCCAGTTTCCCCCATGCTCCTACGTCACTTATGTGTGCTGTTGAAGGATGAGCAATAAAGCACATGTTTTGTTGGGAAAAAAAGATATAGCGTGTACATTAAATTCACAGGTGGGTGAATCATCCTTTATAATGAGGACGGGAGTAGACAGTGCTGGCGCGATCACATTGTTTGAAAAAAATCATGTGACCTATTGCTGTTATCCAGGTGACCTCCCGCCGTTATTGAGTTAGGAAGTGTTTCATATAGCGTATTAGCACACTATTCATTTCACAGGCCGCGTGTCTGCACCCATGCTTGAAGACAATTATTACAACTTGGGGTATTTGTTAACACGCTTCTCAAACTGTGGTATATGCATCAATAGGCTTGCAAATTCAAAACAAAATTTACGGACAAAATGGATCATGTTTTTCAATCCTTTATATTAACTTCAACTTTATTTGTTTGTTTCTTTTTGGAAAAATCTTTTGAAGGCTAATTGATTTACTGCCCGTCATCCTATCGGGCTGAAACTTGGCACATAGACTCATTGCCGATGACAACAATACTCTTTCATATTTGCAGCACCATACCACAACGCAAATAGATACGTTTTTCCTTTTTTTTTTTTTTTTGCATTTTTTTTTTTTTTTTCTTTTTTGTTAGCTTGTTGGTGCCGAAGATTCAAGAATGGTATTATAGTTTAACCCCTATTTAAAGCTTTTTACGGCTTTATGCCCTCAAAGAAAAACCATTTCAGTAAAACTAACATGTAGTGGTGAAGGGAAAAATAAAGGAAATATGCAACGTGTTTTCGCTAGTAAGTAGTTTACCCAGTTACATAATCGCTTCGTAACAAATGATAAATCACGGACAATTACTTAAATTTCTTTTTAAAAATGCATATAAATGATTTATACAAAAAACTAAAAGCGTGTTTTTTTTACGGACAATATGTTCAAATTGTAGGAAAACAGTAGTAAACACTGGTTTTAATCGTAAAACCACCAGTTAGTATATTATTGTGAATTCTATGATTGATGGCTTACCTATAAATGCATAAGTTCATAGGTGCTGCTCGCTCTTCTTACAAGTTCTTTACAAAACGTCTGCTCTTGTCTAAATTTAAATATTATTGATTGGGTTTATGTCTCACGGGAATGTATTTTCGAGAGATAGCCTTTCCTTATATTGTTTCGTCCTCGACTTGAGCTGTTATTTGTTTAAAGTGTGAGAGAGTTGCTCAATTCATCAGCCTCATTCTATCGTCTTTGCTTATTTGATCCAAAGACTTGTATACAGTCCATCAATTAGCAATGCAATAAACCTTTTATTTTTGCTTTCCATCACCCCGAGAATTCCCTTGTACCCCATCCCATGGGGTGGCACGTCTGACCGCTTACAAATCCATCCATTTAACTTTAATGGAACTGTTGAGGCGCTTTGTTAATGTATCAGGTTTGGCTAAAATAAATGCCACATTAGATGCAACTGTATTTCTTATGTGGGTGGAAGAAGTTCATTATGTTTATATGATTTATACGCGAAAACGGCATTGTATAAGAAAAGGCTGTCATTTAAGTTCGTTATTAATCTGAAACACAGAGAAAATGAAAAAAAAATACTACCAAGTGGGGCTTATTTTGCCTTTTTATATAAAAGAAAAATACCGAAATATTAGTTTCTTTGTAGTTGAAATGGTTATAGCCCATTTCACGATAGAAAAATATGTCCAACAGCTTATTTTATCATCAGTCTTGAGGGTGGAGTAGAAGAAGAGTGCTTTCTGTAAAATTCGAAGCAAAACATATTTTAAAAAAATTGAGTTGAGTGGGGTTTACAGTACAGCAGTCTTCTCTTGGTATTGCCTTTCCCCCAGACAATTGAGATACAGAACTTTGTTGGTTTCCGAAGTGATTACTTTACGGTTAGGTCAATTTCGTTGAACCAGATAAATAATTAGAAATAATATATAAAGTGTCATGTAATTGCTCATATTAACCTCATTGGTATTACTTTCAACATATTACAAAGCACACTTCAGGTTGATGCCATGTTATGAAGCAGAACTTTGTTTTCTTTTCAACAGATGGCTTTGTTGAGATTTTGAGAAACTACATATCTTTATTTTAAATAACTACAAAAGGCGAGTCTAAAATCAAAACCTTCATTTTATGCCTTAAGCGTTTTTTAAAAAAAATCTTCATACCCCCTTTTCTTACCCCCCCCCACCCCCACCCCATACACACACACACACACCTCCATTGACTATAACAGTCCTTAAATTTACTTCTTTACAAAAGCCCTCTACCGTGTTCTTAATTTCCCTAGGCCTTGGGCGTCTCACCTTGTTATTCTATCCGCCTACGCCCTCTCAACTTAAAGATTACCACCACACCGCTGATTCATGCACTGTTACCCGAGTTTGAATGCTTTCCATTCAAGTACGTGGGACTCCAAGTTTCAGTCAAGTTTTTAAATAAAGTCACTAGTGATTTTATAAAGTCAACGCCTAGACATGGGTTGGTGAGTCGGAGTTGCGACATGCGTTTTTAATGTGGCCAGCTTGGTGTATTAGCATGATGTGAAACGTGTTGACCCGCACCTGTTGATTTACGTAATAAGCCATTAGAAGGAATCGGTGAAAATGTATCTACTGTACTGTCCCAGTCTGCACGTCGGTATCGAAGACACTTGCAGTTCGTAGTTCGAAGTGTAATAAAGTCACAGCAGAACAGTAGGTCTATAGTTAAAACTGTACAAGGTGGTTTGGGGGGGGGGGGTTTGTAGAGTTGCAGTTTTAGTGACGCCGTGCTGATGTATAAGTTACTATATACCAGGACCGCGCCAAGAAAAAGTTGCGCCCGGGCAAATCATTAAAAATGCACCATTTAATTAATAAATGCTACACACGTAGTCAAAGACAATATTAACGTTTTTTTTCGTGGAGTCTTTTGATGATTTTAGCACCACCTCCTCACTTATAACTAGGCGTCCCGTGCTCCCTCCACCCCACCCTTTTCTACCCGCATGGCCAAGCGTTTCATTGAAATAAAGTGAGGTCGAGATAAACTAATTTACGATGGCGTTTGGGATCAATTAGATTTCATTTAAATCACTTTTAATTAGGTCTAATTTTCACTATACTTAAAAAATTTTGGTAATGGAACTATTGTTGTTTGTTAACTAAATTTTGGTGACAGTTATATCAAAAAAAAATTGTGTATCTTTCCTGCTGATATGTTAAAGCGCTCATTAATTCTTTAGGATTTTTGTTCTCAGAAGCTTAGAATCCAATGAAATATTTTACATGAATGATACTAATTAAACCAGGACTTATAGACATGTAATTATTGGGCTATATTTTTCAATAGTCAGAATTCTTACCAGATATTGTATTTTAAATTTTACATTTTGTTTTATTTTGCAGTGGTGCTTTTTCAGAAGTTGTCTTAGCAGAAAACAAATCAGAGAGAGGAAAATACAATGCAGTGAAATGTATCAATAGGAGGGGCCTTAGAGGGAAGGAGGAGGCACTGGAAAATGAAATATCTGTCTTACGCAGGTGAGTTGCCTGGCCTGCAGTGAAGGCTAAATGATGACATTTTATGTCAGTGTGTCTGGAGTGGGTTGGATTGGCTGATAGCCCTTTAAAATGGTTTGGTAAATTTGATAAATGAGTTCATGCAAGTTTTTGGGTAGGCTGATATTTTCTCTAGTGTGTTTTGGGTTGATAGCTGTGTTGATTGGTTGATTAATCTGATGAATGAGCTCATGCAAGTTTCATTGTCTGGCAGGGGGGTGTGGGGGAATGATAGCTGTTTTGATTGGTTGATTAATCTGATGAATAAGTTCATGCATTTATATTGTGTGTGTGTGTGTGTGGCTAAAGGGTACATAGCCCTGTTGATGAGATGATTAATTTGATGAATGAGTTCATGCACGTTGTTTTTCCTGGTGTCCTCCTCAAAGTAAAGATAATTTGATTCTTTAAAAAATGAAAGCATTATGTGGAGATGGTATGCTTGCCAATGCTATGAGTTCATTATGTGGTGATGTAATGATAAATGCTTGCCTAGGCTATGAGTTCTTCATGGTAGTGATTATGAAACTATGACAGGATGTAAAGTGCTTTCCATTTTATGCACAATGTTGCATTGATTTTTGAGTTTAATGAACTTGAATTTTTTAAAATTATAAGTATTTATGAAGCAGCAGCAAAGAGGCATATTACCAACACACCATCTTACAGCTGATTGTAAACCTCATATAAGATAACAAAATTAGAATATATTGAGTGCAAGTTAATTCACAGATCAGCCAGCTTCTATTTGTAATTTAGAATGATTATCTGCTATTTGATGAATGCCCTATTCATTTGTTTTGATTAAAGAGAGTGGAGGTGAATGAAACAGGTTATACATAAATCAGTTTCTATTCATTATCAGTCTATATTTATTATCTTTCCCCAGGTTAAGCCACCCAAACATAGTAAGGCTTGTGGATGTATTTGAAGATAAAACACATGTATATCTAGTCATGGAATTGTGAGTATACGTCATTTCTCTTTCTTTCAATCATGTATCATTCCTCATGCTTCTAAAATATATTGCATTGGCATCCCTTATTCTCCAGTTGCCATAGAAGTAAAAATGTCCTTCTGTAGTATTATTACTAATTTTACTTTTGGTATGTACTCTGCTTACCCATGTTACAGTGGGCATATTGTCTGGTTTCCCATATTTCATTGTGCATGTAGTCTGGTTAACCACTTAATATTCAGCATGTAGACTGGTTAATCACTTAATATTCAGCATGTAGACTGGTTAACCATGTTTCATTTATTATGTAGTATTTTTGCCCATGTTAAATTGTGTATGTAGTCTGTTCATCCATGTTAAATTGTGTATGTAGTCTGTTCATCCATGTTAAATTGTGTGTGTAGTATGTTTACACTTGTTCAATTGTGTATGTAGTATGTTTTACCATGTTGAATTGGTTATGAAAACTGACTTTTATTAACCTGCTTTATGAAAGAATGAGCCTCTTTTATAAATTAGCTAAAGTCATTTAGTTAATAAGATACCGAAAAGATTTAACCTGAATTTAAACAAATTGTGTAGATGTATTTTATTTTAGTTGGAGATGTATTTCCTTTAAATTATACATTTTTGATTGGCTTCATTTTACACTAGACTATTTGTCCAGGTTGCCAAGGGTATGTTTTTTTTATCCCACTTTCTGGTCAGAAAAAAAGAGTGACTCTATTGTCGTCATCCTGATTATTATTTTGTCACAGTGGTTCTAAATTTATTTAACCTTATTATTAGCTCCTACCGACGTATGCAGTTGGGACAACAGAAAAATGATTAAACAGGCCAAATGCCATTTTTAAAGTGATGATCTTGTAACATTAGTAACATGGGGCCACTCTCTTATATGCAATGACTTGGAGGTTTCTTGAATGTTCATCACCTATGCAACGAATTTTTTCGAATAGTGGAGACAACGGCTTTTATGGATATTTAGTTTAGAACTACTGATTTGTTATCTAATTATAATTTCAAAAGGTATTAATCTGTTTCAATTTTCGTTTTTTTTTTGTTTTTTTTTAACACCAGCCAGCCAAAGCCCTTAAGGCGGGCCGCTGAGTTGACTAACTCAAGTGTACCGTGAGAAAAAAATACGTACCGGTATATCATTTATTTATTAAGATTCAAGATTCTATCAATTTGGTGATAGGTTATACTTTATACATTATTTTATGTCAAAGATGATTAGCATGGTACCCCTCCATGAAATTGTGAAATCGTATTTGATCTAAGTATTAAAAATATCGCGTACACTTTCATGTATGTATGTTGTTTTGTTTGTGAGAAGCCAAAGGTAGGTAAACTTAAATACAGGCTCGAGATTTTAAAGTCTATAGATGTTTGTTATATATTACAAAACCAACAAGGTGCCTAAATATGTTATTCTTTTTAAATCAGAACCGCGGGGTGTATCTTTCTCTTGACATGATATGCTCTGAGGTTGGGCTGATATCTGTCAAATAGGTTTTGTTGTGAACTAGATTGTTGTGAATGTTTGGTAGGGGGAGTTGTTAATCGTGACAGTGTTTTTGTGAGTCGTAAGTCGTAGGGTCAGATCGTGGAGTTGATTCGTGATGTTTGAGCTTTACGGTATGCGGAGTGTTTGTTGTGTAGAGATATTAAAGGCAGTGTGTGAGGTGAACAGAAGAGTGTGATTTACAGGGTGGATAGTATTTTGGTTAGATTCGCTGTGGGGCTTTTAGCCTGAGGATAATATTTTTCTGCGAGATGTAGGCCTATTTATGTATTAGCTTCATTGTGTACCAGGTGGATGTTTTAGTTCTGTGAAAATAAACCCATAAATAAAATAAACAAGGGTGTTATGGGGGAAATGAAATCTATTGTATGCCTTTTTTTAAACAAATAGTATTATTTTAAAGTTTTATCAAGTATTGTTTTTTTACGCTCTTAGATGGGTGCAATATAATTTCTTGCAGTTAAACAATAACGAAGCACATAAATTACAAACTCCGGGAACCATTGAAATTAGAAGTCATCGAATGATGACTCACGCACATGTCGTGCGAAAGCAAAGAATTTAATTTTTTTTTTACGGGGATGTGATGTCGTTTTGTTAGGATATTATAGAGTTGTAGAGGATTGTCCTCGGGTGTCCAGAAAGGATTATCAAGATCGCACAACGCTATATGGTTTTTTAAGATAACAAATGCAATAATTCTACACAATCCATGGAAATTTTAAAATCTTATAAGCATAACAATAAAGAATTGCTTTTTCATGTACATTAATTTACTGGTATTTCAACCAATATTGTCAACTCGAAGAATATCCAGTCATATTTCATAGTTAACATATAAACAGGAACTATGTACAATGACTGTACGCTACTCTGACTGTGTTTTATTCATACATGCGATACCATCTGGAATCTCGAAACTAATGGCTGGTACATACGGTATACAAAATAGCCATTAGATGACCCTTATAGTGATCGTGTTTACCTCTCCGACGTTAGGAGGCAATTTAGGATCCAGGTGAAGAGAACTAAGCACGTGCTCCCTTTCCCCTTGTCGTTATATATATAGGCAGGCCGCCGACTCCTGTTTCGGTGATTTTTACGTTTAGACCCGCTCTGGTGGAAAAAAAATTAAACGTCTAGATTAGAACAGAACAAATGAAAACACTCCGCGTCACGTTCTCCAGTCGTCGCTATTTAGGTTTTTTTTATTTGAAATTTAATTGGCCTAACATAAACCAAGGGCGGCAAGGTGAACGGAAGGATCTCCAATCCACGTGCTCCGATCGGAAGGTATCTACATGTTTATTTTTATTTTATTTTTATTTTTTTGTTGGCAGGAGTATTGGAATCCCGTTGCTTACATAGGGGAATGCTTCAATGACAAGTGAAGAGTGAATATTTACATAGGTAATAGGGATGCTCGAAACTGCATACCACAGAGATGACACAGCGCAGTGTTGTCTTGGGGCGCTCGGTTTGATTCCATTCATGGTCCGTTCGCTGGACTTGGGTGGAATCGTCAGGCATATTGCGTTGAATTTGGTGCGTACGCTTAGACTTAGAGCGATGAAGTCTTTTATCTTAAAATGGAAGTATGCGTGGATATGAATGTCTTAAATCATAATACAGACAGGGCTGTGTCAGTTATATACGTAAAAATTAGGTTGTTATGTATATCGCAAAATGTCTATCATTATTATCCAGGTAAAATCGGGTCATATATACTAGTATAGCAAGATTGCAATTGTAGATCTCAGCGTTCAAGAAAACCTGCGTGAATCTCGTTAATGCGTCTAGATACGCGCAAGTAGGAAAGGGTCAAAGACCACGAACTTAAGTAAAGAAGACCACGAACTTAAGTAAAGGTAGAAGGTTGAGAAGGCTAACTTCGGACTTGCTGTTTGCACTGACTTGGCATAGGCGTGAAATATAAATAAGCTCTTCATTGGGACTCTTCTTGTCCTCTAATTGTTGATTGATCCAATGGAGGTATCGTATTTGCAGAATTAATCGATTTGACTCAACTGTTTCGATTCTTTCCTTCAAATGAACATTATTCCTTTTATTGAACACTGGTGCGGGAGCCACATATGAAACATTAGAGTTGGGAAAACTCTTTGACAAGCCGCGTTTCAGTGTTTAATCTACCTTTGCCACAGCAATTTTAGTGGCTGAGTATGCAGTCAGCGTTTCATTAAACAATCAATGAAACAGACTCCCATATTGAATTACATAGTTCATTTGTTTAATTATAAAGTGGATGGATACTTGTTTTGTGCACGAACGGAAGTGTTTTGTTGTTTTTTTTAAAGTTGAAGTCTGATATACTACTGAAATATTTTTTGAAATTTTACATCTTTTAATGTCGATTTTTTTGTTGTTGATTAAAATGGGAAGTTTATATAAATAATATAATTAAATAGTAAGAAGTCCATCAATTATTTTTTTAATAATCATTGGGATTAAAAAAAAAAAAATTAGTATCAGTACATTTTTTTTGTAAAACTGAAATTGTTACTAAATATAGTAGGCTAGTGTACGACAATGGCTATTTTAATATATTCCTTAGTTTTTCTGTGACTAACGGTCTTTTCCCCACAGTAAATGTCCTTTGATTTTCCTATTTTTACCTCGTTATATGAAATATTACAAACCTAGCGCGTAGCCTTGGTGGTACGCAAAAAAAAAACAACATAAAACAACTATTTAATAATGTTTGTCATATTTTGTAATTAATACTTTTTTGCATATATTTGTTTGTATTACAATAAATATGTTCCGGGGGCAAAAGTAGTCTTTTTTTACTGATCGCCCGGGATAACTTTGTCTCTATATTAAGTCGCCTCAAGTCCAGCATTTCCCCCTCAGCGAACAAACAACATTAAAAACAATAAAATAAGAATAGCATTTAACTGAAAAGGAGTACCCAAGGGGGCGGGAAAAGAATGGTGAAAACATAAATTTTGCAGAAGCGCCGGGAATCGAAACCTTATAGGAACCACTGAACTAGCTTCAGGTTCTTTTTACCAAAGCATGGGAATGGGGCTGATTATCATAAGCTTCAGGTTCTTTTTCTAAATACTCCTTTCAAACAACACAATTATATTTGCTACCGTATATATTTTTCTCGTATAGCAGTTACACTGCGCAAAAATAATTTAAGGAAACATTAATTCGGACATACTTTTTAGAAGATAAACGTTGGTGAAGTTTTATATGATCAAAAAATATAAGTGATCCCAATGACAGTAACTGAGTTTCAAAACCAATATATTAACATATGCAAAATGACAATCTGCTGCACAGTTTTGGTGCAGTTTTCAGAACACGAAAGGCTGAAATAAAATCGCACAGTTCCACCTTATGTAACTTTTAAGGTTGCTACTAATTTACTGCTTAGCCATCTATTAATGGGACGAACTGTTATAATTTTGTGCCAGACACATAGGAAGATGCTCCCCGGTGATCTGATCTGAACTGGCAAATATTCTGGCCAGTAATGAATGGCTGGCTTTGGCCAAAGCTGCACGAACGATAGGACCTACTTGATTTGTGGATAATGAGGTACATCTTGCTCAAATCCCTATGTCGTGACCGACTCAGCTTTTCCTACTAACCCTGCTCGGGGACGAGAATGTGAGCGTACTGTACCGGAACACCAGAGCCTAGTGGGGGGTCCATTGCGCTCATAGCCGAACCATTCTAGATTCCCAAGGGACACACCGCTCAAATGTTGAGTTCGGGGTCTTGGCAGCCATCGACCGAATTCAATGACTGGGGGCTGTCTTGCGTTTCCGGCTTGAAGTAGGCTTCCAACCCCCTTATGGGGCTCTAGCAGGTTCCAACGACTGATTCCATTTGGCCGCTTGGGACTAGGGGTTACGAATTGTCCATCGAGTCTTTTTAGTACTTCAATGTCCAGCAAACATTCTATTAATGTGTGTGTATATATAAAAATGTATAAATGTGTTATAGAGAAAATTCGTACATGATCACAGAGAGAAACAGTTGCACCAGTCTGCTTCCGTATTTTTAGAATCGGAAATTCAAAAAGCCTTATTCTATATTGGCTGTTCTTAATTCCGGTTTTAATAATATTACAATAGTACATGACCAAATTTGTGAATTAAAAATGACTCACAAATCGTTTATCAAACATACATAATATTGGTTGGTACTCAAATGAGAGCTTACAAATTGCATGATTTTTTTATACCAAGTTCAGCAATATGTCGCGGAGAAATAACCCAAATATTTTAAATATTAAAAAGCTGCCCTCTGTTTCATTATTTTATGTGTTAAAAATTCAAAATCCGCCGATATGCACGTGTCCTATTAATAGTAAAGTTATGTAATTCTTTAACTTTGGTTCGATTTCGAATCTGAGAAACAATTGGTAATGCAATAAATGTTATATATTTTCCTTATACAAAATATAGCTCGGGGTTTTTAACAAATAACAACTGAGCCCTAGCTTAACTCACGCGATCTACATTGATATTGAAAACAAGGAATAGGAAAACTTCTTATTATCTTATCGAAAACGGAAGGATAGAGAATGATTTTCACCAAATGGTGTCGACCTTGATATTTCTAGATCCGTCCGTAGGAAACACGACAATGAAACTTTTTTGTACATCAGTATTTCCTTAATAACTTTCAACAGCGTTCAGACATTCTTTACGTTTTCTATTTCATTTGTTTAAAAATAAAATAAAAATAATGCCGTTGAAAAAAAGGGACGTATAATTATTCTTCTAAACCTAATTTCCAACTCGTTAGCTTAAACCCGAAATCGAATATACATATAGAGTGAAAAATGGGCAATGGGGTGTTTAGATAGAAAGAGATTACTTAAGACGTGTCTTTTTTTTATTCACATATAAGAATGAAATGATTTCATTATATTCGTAGGCTAAAAGCAAACAATACAATTAAAGATTTGCCGAATGCATTTTACACTGCCAGGTTAACACCTAAACACCACCAAAGAAAATATACGGAATGAGAGAGTAACAATGAAAGTCAATGACCCAAAGAGCGAGGTGTTTTCAGCCTCATGCGGGGAGAGAGAGGAGGCGCAGCCCCCTTCTATGCATCTGCATTCGCTTGTAGCTCAAGAAAAATAATTTAAATTTTGATCTTTTATGTCAAAAAAGAAACGCCATTGCATAGCCTTAGGTAATGTACGTCTTGGCGTGTCATTAGCGCCTCGTTAATCGGGATTTTCCTGGGTGGGAATTAACAGGATAGATCGCGTATCCTGGGCAGATTTCGTGATGAAAACATCACAGTAGCCTCTGGCAAGGTAGCTATCACGACCTGTCTCACTACATGGTCCGTATTTTATGTATAGCATGTAAACGAAATTTCAACATTTTGTCAAAAAGCCAATGGTGCCCTGTTGTGTTAACTAAAATTGTAATCTTATACCCTGTGGCGGACCAGCAGGAGCTATCCACATTTTCGCAGGGACAATACTAAACTAAATATTAATGGTTATTTATTTAGAATTTTTCAATGTTCTTAAATTATTCACCTCAGTGACTCAGGGTACGAGATTTTGCCTGTCCACAGACCACCACTGTGAGGCTGACTACATTATACTATAGCTGCCATCCTATTTCGAGTATACAATTTATATTTTCATCAATTTTTATCGTACCTGGTGAATGACACTGTTTGTGACATCATCGTCATCAATGGTGCCTCATCACATCATTCCATTCAGATCGATTCATGGCTTTTCGACTCTATTCGTGGACTTTCAACTAATGTAATGCCTTGTCCACATCATCAATCCATTTCAGTCTTGGTCTACCGGTGAAACCTTGGTTTCTGTCTGCAAACCACATTTTCTTCCTATGATCGAGGTGTCACAGCGTAGCCTGCTTTTTTTTAAAACTATCGTATCGTTTGATTGGATATTCCTATAATTGTTATAATTCCTGATTACTCCGATTTCTCCATCTATCATTCTCGTGTACATGCCCATATATTTTTTATATTTTTCTCTCCCACATATTAATCAGGTTTTCGGCTTTCTTATTAAATGTCTATTTCTCATACTACTGGTCTTATAATAGTGAGGTATATAGTTTACTTTGTTTTCCTTGAGATGTTTCTGCTTCTTAGTAGCTTTAGAAGACTGAAATATGAGCGGTTGCGTGCTGTTATCTTTACCTTCACGTCCTTACATTTAGCTCATTTATGATGAGCCTAGTTATTGGAATGTATTCACTGTCTCAAATGTGTGGATTTTATTTTGTTTTAATGTTATCATGTTATATGTCTGTTAAGTGACATTACCATGCACTTGGTCTTTGCTTCATTCACCGTTATATCGTATTAATTCATTAAACGCTCGTATGATGTGCTATTTCTGTCCTTTAGAGCCATGTCATCTGCAAATGCCAGCTATTACAATGTTTGGCTATATAATGTTCTCGGTGGCTGTAGTTTTGTAACGTTTCTCTGGAAATAGTTTTGATCGTTCCACTGGTGTTCACATCTGTGTTCCGCATATCTTTAACTAAGGTGTTTGTAACAACTTGTATGAAAATCAGAACGATTTCTAGGAGGCTAAGTTTAAATTTCTTTTACGGGCATGACGATATTCTGTAAAAACTCAAATTTTATCGGACAAGTATATAATTGCTAGTCCAAAATTTAAGGCTATCCACAGAAATTCAACCCATTCAAAATCGTTCACAAAATATAAAGTAAAGTACTATGTTTAAATTCAAAATAGCCTCGACAGGTTGGCAAAAAGGAGAGGGAGTTAGGGGGGGGGTATGCAAAAGTTAGGGGGGGGTATGCAAAAGGTATTTGTAAATAAAATTGTGAGAGCAGCTTCGTTTACTAGTTTTTTTATGTATTGTCTTGCGTAACTTTAGCGTAGACCTCCGCTTCTTTCATCATTTAAATTAGTTCATATTTTCTTTTGAACTTCCTTTGATTATCTTGTACTGTAAACATTAATAAACATTTACATTTTATGTTACCTGTGTACCGTTAGCACGATTTTGAGTTCAACAATTGGGGGAGGGGGTGATGGGGTGGGGGCGGGCTGCTGCCATGCTGTTTATTTTATCACTTTAATTTCCTTTACATAATTGTGAATTCTTTATTTAACTACTGTTATTGTAACATTAATAACTTAGCTTTATTTTTGTACATTACATATATTACACATACATGTACATGATTTTTATACTTAGAAATAACTTGCTCAGAGTGTGGATGATATGTTTGGTACTCTATGGCAGCGTTTCCCAAACTTTTAAGTTTCACGGACCGGTGGACAAGTTTCGAAACTGCACCAGGGACCGGTGCCAGATTTATTAATTACATTTTCTTTCTATTTAATAAATGGAGAAACGTGTGATGCCTATAAATCTCTTATTAATTATATTGCTTGTTTTGATTTTACACTTTTAAGGGCAGCAAAAGTTCAAGTGTGAAAAGGGATTATTTTGATAATCGAGGAAAGTCGTGGCGTTTTATTGCATGGTTTATCAAGCACATGTTGATCGCCTCCTTAATGTCAGGCTTGTGTCGTCTGTGCTGGTCATCTCAAGGCTGATAAACGCCGGGTACTGGAAGATATGATAACTGGACACCGCTTGCATTTGGTTACAGTTGGTCTTTGATGAAATATTAAGCGTTGAGATATTCTTAGATAAGTTTTAAGAGCTTACATCAGGTTGCAAGGACGTGTGCTCAACGAAGCAGACTTTTGAAATTAAATTTCCTTAAAGCTTTATATTATGTATGCATATTTTTTTTTGTCGGCCACCTGTATATTTAGATTCTTCTGTTTTTTGTTTTTTTTTAAGATGGGAGAGATTTTAGTTTTATTCTCTGTCGTGTTAAGCCTTTTTGTTTTTTAAACCAGCTGCCAGCAAGTCAGTGACATTGTTAATAGCTTATCTGAATGTTGTCTTGTTATTGCCTTGAATTATTATCGACCTTTGTAAAGGTGGTGTTCGACCACAGCACCTGTATCAGGCTTAATGGACTTAACTACTTTGACTTTTGCTATTTTTTCCTGCGGTTTGGCTTTATTGATCATTTGTGATACTTTGATGAGGATGAAAGTCTGAAGAGCCATTTGTCCCAGGAGTATAGACATTTTAACCACTCCGATTCCTTGGCTTGTCTAGACGGTTGAATTTCAAAAAGTGTGCCTTGTAAAAAATGCGTTTTTCCACCTTAAAACTTTAAACCCATATCATTTTTTTTTAAATTAGAAGATATGCCTTTTTTTTTTAATTGGCGCTCTGAACATCAAGTAATATTATGAATTATGTAGCATCAGTTAAAGAAAGAACCTGAATTGTTCTCCGTTAATTAAGTCATGTGATATTAACATTTCTATTACATTGTCTACAGGGTGACAGGAGGTGAACTATTTGACCGTATTGTTGAGAAAGGAAGTTACACAGAGAAAGACGCTAGCCTTCTTATCAGACAGGTTTTAGAAGCAGTGGATTATATGCACGATAGGGGAGTCGTACACAGGGATTTAAAGGTAAGCCTTGCAAGGATATATCATAGAAATACAGTAGGACTCGGTTATGTCGACGGCCTCGGGGTTTGCCAAAAAGCATCGAGATAACGGAAAACCAATATGGCGGCAATATATTAACATGTGCTTGAAATTTCTTTATGTACCGCGAATGGCTGCCCAGGACAACGTTTGGCACACAGGTTAATTATGAACATTTATACCGGGGTTTTTAAACCTTGAATTAAAACGTATTTATTTAAATTACTTCTAGGTCCTGTATTTTTAGAAATAAGTAATTGTTTTTAATTATGAAAAACTTGTTTATTTGTTGTTTGCTATTTCTTCTTGCGGAGTTCAAAAGCCGGCGTTTGGTCATGGGGATCGAGATAAATGAGGTTAATTGGCAAATTTGGCCGCCCTTTGTGCTCGAGATATCAGGGTTCGGCAACATAAAAGAATCGGCATAAGCCAGGATAAAATGCTAAGACAAAGAGAGAATTTGGCGGTTCCACTTCAAAAACGTCGGTTCCACTTCAAAAACGTCGACACAACAGGATTGGCGAGTTAACCGAGGTCGAGATAAGCGGGTTCGACTGTAGTAGTTTACTGTATTGTTAAATAATATTACCTCACATAAATGTCATAACAATTCAATTGTGACCCCTTTTCCCTAATTTATTTATTTCTTCTTTTTTTTTTTTTTTTTTTATTTTTGTTTTTTGGCATAAGGGGTTGGGTTGGTTTGTTTTTTTTGTTTTGTTTTTTTTTTTTTAGGGGGCTGAGAGCGCAAACAGTTTAATGATTTGTTAAGTGTTACACGTTATATATGTTTTTATTTAAATGTGGTTATATATCACACATTGTGGATACTAATGTCACTTTAATGTACTGTTGGGGCCGGCTTTTAATATATATTATAAATAATCAACTAGACCCCATTAGATAAACTCTATTTTATATTGCGAAAACTAGCATCTAATTTAACAGAGCTCCGGAGCTGCGACGCTAACAATTCATAGTTACAATACTTAATCGGAAGCCATGTAAATGCCTTCTGTTGAATGCATGTGAAGAAACTTTCATTATCTCCACTCGCATACATACACACGGAAAAAAAGAGATAGAGGAAGGGAAAAACAACACAACTCAAACGGGTTAGGAAAATCAATGAGAGGATGCCTGAAGATGTACGCGGTATTACCCGGTATTACCGCATGCCTCTAAGAGGACGTTTGATTGGCGTCAGCCGGCAACAGACAGACGATTGGCGTTTCTAGCAGAATCTTGCTCTTCATTGATCTTCTAAAATCTTTATTCTGTCTCTCAGAGAGGCATGTAGCTTGATATCTCATGACAGCATCTTAGTATGGAAAAAAATGATCCCACAATCCCACTAAACCAGAGATTAATTTATGTTGCTTAGTGTCGCATCATATCGCCTGTCGAACCAAAAGGCGTCTGCTGGTAAAGTCTGGTTCTTATTTTTTATATGCGATTCATGAGACATGGATAAGATAATTGAGAGAGTGTGAAGGGTTTATGTGAGTCATGAGATGTTATCTCTGAAAAGATAACGGGTTTCTGCGAGTCATGAGATAGAGGTGAGAAGTTTATTCGAGTCATGAGATGATGTTATCTCTGAGAAGGTTGGAGTTCATGCGAGTCCTGAGATAGATATATCTGAGAGTTGTTCAGGGGTTTATGCGAGTGCTGCAATAATGATATCACAGAGGTGAGGGTTATTTTGCGAGTAATAAGATAAGGATATATATGGGAAGGTGAGGGTTTTATGCAAGGCCCGAAAAATTGGCGCAGATAAAAAGTAAACATTTTTTTTATAATTATAAGACTTTTAAAAATGATAGGGCTTCGTAGCCTGTCTCCCTGACCCAGAAAATCCCCCAATTACAGTGATTTACCAACGTTATCTAACGAATGTGTCATCATTACGTGAACGTGTTTACTCTGTTTGTATGTAAAATGCATAGAATAAAATCTGCGTTCGTGCATTACATTGTCTTGCACATATTTTGGAGTTCGCATTTAGTCCAAGTCACGCCTTTGTATGAAGTTATAAAGTCCGAACGAGAAATTAGGCATGAGACGTTGTATTAGTTTTTAGTAGTTTGACTAGGTGGTACATCGTTTAAAAGTTTGCAAACTATAAATTGTTGTTTAACATTGCCCACACGTTTTCACATTCTCCTTCTTCTGTCTGATCATATTTACACAAACAAAAAGATGCCAAAAATTGCAACTGCTATGCTATATGTGTTAGACATTCAATAGGCGTTCAAATAAGTATTCAGGCCTAAACATCTTGCTCAAAAGAAGACTCTTCTTAATACTGGACTCAGTTCAAATTGTTGTCGAAATTGGATGGCAGATTTGGACTGACGAAAAACGGCAGCATATAAAGTCATTGCGTCAAACAAAATCCGTCAGACTTTTGACCTTTATCTTATACTGATGTAATGCCGTGCCGAGGAACCCAATTCTTATTTAATGAAACAACTGATCCTCTGTTAGACTCACGTCTGCCTTACCACCACACCTCAGTGTGGTGGAGGAGAAGGGGAGGTGTCCATATTTCATGCACCAGGAAGAAATAAGATTCCTATCTCCCCCGGCTAGTGGGCGAATAATTCTTTCATTTAATCTTGTCAACGTTAGGGGCCATTCCGGTGATTTCTTGCCTGACCTTTTAGTAAATTTTAGTTCATCACAACCGTTGTCTGTTCACTTGTGGCGGGTTATGCTTTCAAGCAGGAAAAACTCCTTTGGAACGGTGTTTAGAAAATGTTGTTTTTTAAAATTGTGTTAATGTTTTGAAGGTGAAAAATATGTGGAAAGTTGGAAACCTGGATATCCTTAAGTATTCATTATACCCCGTCCACATTACCCTTAACCTATCGGATCCCCATTAACCTTGCCTTCTTATCACCCTTTGCCCATTACCCCTTCACTCTCAATCATTACCCTCTCCCATAATATCTACCCTCTCATCACCTTTTCCCCATTTCCCTTACCCCCTCAATCACCACCCTCTCCCATTACTCATGCCTTCTATTCACCCTTTCCCCATTATACCAACCTCTCATTCATCACCCTCTCCCCTTTAAACCTACCCACTCATCACCCTCTCCCCATTACATCTACCTCTTATCACCTTTTCCCCATTCCTCTCATCATCCTTTTCCCATTACCCTACCCTCTCATCACCCTTTTCACTTTGCCACTCTATAAATTATCATATTAAATGACTTAATAAAAGTGTATATGTTACCGGCAATGTTTGAAATGCAGGTATTGTACAGAATGCCTATGCATTATATAGAATGCCTGAAGTTTGTAGGCAAATTATGAAATATTTGATTTTCAAGATAATGTTACATACTTTGCTTATGCATTGTATATGTTACCGGCAATGTGTGAAATCCGGCTTTGTATATATTGCCTAGGAATTATATAGAATGCCTGAAATATGTAGGCAAAGTATGAAATGGTTTTTATTTCAAACATTTCCTAGGCATTCTATACAATGCCGAAGAGCAACCCGGAAATGTATAGAATACCCCGCCATTTATGTTTGATTCTTTGCTCGGAGGTGCCCTCCCTTTGATGTTTTGCAAGACATACAGACAGGAAGAACTAAACAAAATAATAGCGTTCAAACAACACAGCAAGAAGAAGCAAATCACCAGATGCAAGATATAAAGAGCCTACAGATTACTGAAGAGAATGCAATAAATAATGGAGAAAACCAAACTGATTGTGACGGCATGGTTACCGAAGATCATTCCACTTCTGCTGTTTGTTGTGTCTGCTTAGAAGAAAGCAGCGGTGCCCATACATTCCGAAAATGTCGCCGTAATATTCATGTTATCTGTGGGAATGCTGCTTAAGACGACGGAGACGAGGAAATAGAGGGTTATAGTGTTGGTATTTTGTGCGGTCTGTGTTTCAAGAGTAAGAGAGCTTTAGAATTGCGCTACAGAAGCTATTCGGAACTTCTCGGATGACAGCAAAAGTGTTTTTAATACTGACAGACGCAACCGATCTGTGCACATCGATAAAATGACATATTTTGTTGTGGAAGAAGCTACAGGAGAATAAATCTAGAAAATAATCTAAACCGAAACTTGAAATCCAGGCAAAAACAAAATCAAAAAACAAAAAGAAAATAAACTCTCTAGGAGCCACTGTGCGAATTTCTATTGCTGACATTGGCAAGGGACTGGGTGACTCGTCCTATACTTATTTCATATTTCTTCTTTCGTTTTCAAATGTGTTTTCCCAATAAAAAAATTTTATCACGCTCTTTTCAAACTTTGCCTGAAGTATATTTGTCATTATGTATAATACCTAGGCAATGTATCAAATTCCTAGGCAAAGTATGTAACATAATCACGAAAATCAAATATTTCATACTTTGCCTAAAAACTTCAGGCATTCTATAGAATTCTTAGGCATGCTGTACAATGCCTGCATTTCACACATTGCCGGTAACATATACACAGGCCTTAGAAAGATCCTGAAAATCAAGTGGCTAAATTTTACCACCAAGAAAGATCTACTAGAAAGGACTCACCAGATGCACATTGACGAAGACATCTCAAATAAAAGATGGAGATGGATAGGACTCTCCGAAAACCCTCAGATAGCACCACCAAACAATTCCTAACATGGAATCCACAGGGAAAAATAAAGAGAGGAAAACCTAAGAATACATGGAGACGCGAGCTAGAAGCAGACACGCAAAATATTGGATACACCTGGAAACAAATGGAAAGGAGGGCATAGTACCGTGATGAATGGATAATTCTTGTGGATGGCCTATGCCCCAGGGTAATAAGGGGAGAGACTGCAATCAGGTTAGTACAATATAAAATAAGTAAAACAGAGTAGAGTTAAATCTGAAAAAATAAACGCAACAATACAACAAAAGTGTTGGCAGAAAGCCTTCGTCAGCGAACAAAACAACAGAAAAAAATGTTTAAAATTAAAAATAAGAATAAGAAATTGCACTTAGCTGGGAAGTAGTATGCGTGGGCAGCAAAAGAAGTGGGTAAAAAGGCATAAGAATAAGATTTTGAAAGTGACCAAGGCCCAGAATGTATGTGTGAAAGAATATCTAAATATTTCGGTTTCGGTCGAAAATCATTTACTTTCGGCCTAGTTTCGATTTTGGCCGAAATCAGAAAATCACTTTCTGTCGGTACAGATATTTAAAATTGTACATAGTTTTTTTAAAATAAATAAGTTTAAGTACATGTTTTTACAATTTTTACAAAATATCATTACTTTGTAGTTCAAGGACGTGAAAAGGGTTAAGTTGACCTTTATTAATAAGAGATACAAATTAATCAAACCAAATGTTAAAAACGTAAACATCTATAAATAGATACTTCTTTAAAAATACGGAAATTCTGATTTACAATTTCCTAATTATACATTCAAATGATATGGGAAAATTGTCGTAATTTTCTTTTCAGGCAGGATGCAGTACATCAAACTCGATTCAGTTAAAAACTTAAAATATGATTTTTAGATGTTGAGACTTCGAAGTAGAAAGTAGCTACATTATTAACCCGGTAACACCCGGTCATAACTCAGATATTGATATTACACTCTTGCCCCTAATATTAACAGTAGAACACAATTCTAGGCTTCCATATGAAGCTGTAGCGAGTCTGTGAACCCTTCTCTGTTGGTCAATGGCCAGATAAAAGATGATAGCTGTAATGGAATGTTAGTAGTCGCTCATGTTGTTGTCCAGTACTGCATTGGTTGCTCTGCACACCCTGTTGACTGTGGTATCAAGGATGTCATTTGAAGTGCTATCAGTTTTCATGACCCCAGTCAAGCTATGTCATGCAGCATCTCTATCCGTTTGCTAATAATGGAATTCTTTGTTGTACGGCCGCAAGCAACACTTAGGGAAAGCTTCATCTAAATCGAATGTTATTTTTAAGGCGGTTTTAAAGTACATCATCCTAATTGTATAACAAAAGAAGACATTGCTGAATAATGAATAGTTATTCATTTATAAGACATGCGTTGCTATTCTTTTACCTTGGTTTAGTGTCATTTGAAGTGAAAGTTGTCTGCCTGTTTTCAAGATTGTACTTGTAGCTACTCTAAACCGTTTACCTTTTACAATTTACCCCATTTGTTTGTTTATTTAGCTTCATCAAGCAGTCCTCAGCATGTCTTTGAAATGTTTCTTCATATTTTTTTGTTAAAGTCTTTTCCAAGATTTTCGTGAAGCGAGATTCTCACCACCACTCCCTCCCCACCTTTTAAAGCTTTTATTTAACTTAGTTTGTGTGGGATTTTTTTTTTTTTTTTTTTTTTTTTTTTTTTTTTTTGTTTTTTTTTTTTTTTTTTTTTTTTTTTTTTTTTTTTGTTGTTGTTGGATTTACGGGGCTGCTGGCGGGCTAGAAAGTGGGCGCAGCTGAGCGCCCATTGAAGCTAACAGGATGTCATGCTGAAATTCGCTTTCAGCATCTCTCTCTGGCAGTTAGTAAAGGAAAAAATAGTCTAGTCATTATTCTTACAATGGCTAGTACAAATAATGACTGTCTAACAAAGGGGCTTTTGAACTCCTTTCTTCCTTGCTCAGTCGACTGCAGGTGCTGGTGCTACTGGGGGCACTAGGAAGGTGCCGCGGTTCACCTCCCAAAATGCCTACTAGTAATATAGCTAAGCTGTTGGGTCGGATGGAAAATAACTCAACAAGTTGCTCCATGGCTGGGTGGTGGGCGTTGCACTTCTTCAAGAGACCCTACTGAAAATCAACCATTGCACATATCGGGCTTTTCAGTCTACCGCTGCTTTTGCGTAAAGTGCCGAGGGCTGGGTAACTCTTGTGAAGAAACTCCCCTCACAGTGCAAAACTCTTGATGGGACAGAGACTCAGACCCTTATAGTAACTTTATATGCTTTTATATAACACCAAGAAACACGTTATGCCTACCCTTGTGTGCCACAATAAACTTCAAAAAATAGCAGGGGATTTTAACGCCAATATGGGGGATAGGGGCTGCCCAGAGAGGATCGTCTCCAGGCGTTATTTAGAAGAGGTCGAGCTCTCTACCAACCCCTTGTCCTGTCCGGATCTCACTCTAGTATCATCAGAACTAGAAGCGAAAGTGATGTTTGAAGTACTTCATGAGATTGGTAGAAAACTAAGACTTAGACTTATCCTTATAAATATTTGGTTAGAAAAGGCAAGGTTTGCTTGGCTTTTCGGAAAAGCCAAATGGATCCTATTCAGCTAAGGAATAGAAAGCACGATCGCGGGGTCAGCTGGGATCCCCGAAGACGCTCATGACCATCGATGTTGCTTACTAAAACCTCTTGAGTGCTATCTTTAGTGTGGTAACAACAAAAAAAGACCAACCCAGGACATGGGGAAACCGCAAAGTCCGGTCTTTCTGGACCAAAAGTGTGGAGGAACTCGTCCGTTAAAGGAAAAAAGCCTGGGCCAAAGTCGCCAGGCTGAAGACTGAGCAGATCGCGCTTCTTACAAGTTGACGACTGATATCAGGGCCGCTGTCATAAAGTCAGAGAAGGAAAAATGTTCTGGAACGTGTGAAAAACTCAACCTGATAGACGGGAAAAGGGTTTAGTGAATGATTGACTTTCTCCTTTTCTCACTCCCTTTCTCTCTCTCTCTCTCTCTCTCTCTCTCTCTCTCTCTCTCACTCTCTCTCTCTCTCTCACTCTCTCTGGCATGGGGAAAACGAGAAACCTAAAACCTTTTGCAAACAAAGACAGGCACGGTTACCGAAAGGGTTTAGTGAGTGTTTGTCTTTCTCTTTTTCTCTCTCTCTTTCTCTCTCTCTCTCTCTCTCTCTCTCTCTCTCTCTCTCTCTCTCTCTCTCTCTCTCTCTCTCACTCTCTCTGGCATGGGGAAAACGAGAAACCTAAAACCTTTTGCAAACAAAGACAGGCACGGTTACCGAAGATACCAAAAGTGCCGAAGCCATTAACAGGCATTTTGCTAAGGTTTCTCTAAAATAGAGAGAGAATGTAGAAAACGCCCAGCAGTGGGTACCACATGCTGAAGTCTTACAGCACCCTTACTCTGGTCGAACTGCAGAAAGCAATCGATAAGTGCAAAGCCGCCAAGGCACTAGGACAGAATAAAAGCTGTAACGAAATTATCAAAAACCTTGTCACGATAGATAAGACGATGCTATTGAATTTCATTAACAGATCATGTGCCACGGGAGCCCTTCCCAGAGCTTAGCTAAGCGCTACAATCGTTCCTATTCCCAAAGATGGGGGGGGGGGGACGACAATCAACCAAGCAGCTACAGTCTGATCTCCCTAACATTGTGTTCAGGGAAGGTAGCTGAGAGCGTGGTCAACGATATACTTTATTGTTATCTGGAACGCTACCATCGTTCCTATTCCCAAAGAGGGGGGGGGGGGACGACAATCAACCAAGCAGCTACAGTCTGATCTCCCTAACATTGTGTTCAGGGAAGGTAGCTGAGAGCGTGGTCAACGATATACTTTATTGGTATCTGGAAAGTACCAAATGTCTAAACGCAAATCAGGCGATCTTTCGAAAAGGAAAGCAGCATATATACCAGGTGCTCCGTCTTCTTCAGTCCATAACCGATGGTCTCTAGAGAAAGTCACATACATTGGCTGTATTTGTTTACATCCGACAGGCTTATGAGGTCCGGATATTGTTAAAATTAAAAGGCTTATGCGTAACTACAAACCGAACGGAATACATTGAAACCTCGAGAAAGAGTACTCTGGAACGAGGATTACCACTAGGTTCAGCACTTAGTTGCACGCTCTTCCTGGCCTATATCAGTGATTTTTCCAGTATATTGGCAACAAATGCAACCATTTATGCTGATGATTTGTTAATCTGGAATACCTGTATGGACGCCAACCAACTGCAAGAACTACTACAGTAGCTATCAGCTATCAGTAGGTACATGCAGTGGTGGCAAATTGAAATTAACACCCCAAAAAAGCGATATATTTACTATTCATGGGGCAGGAACACTCAGAGCTCTACCCTGAGTAGTGTAAGGTTGGTGATGGACTACAGCATGTCCATCAAATCCTTTGCAAGCAAGACTGGAATTGAAAAATGTGACCACTCCCACAGCTGCTTTGAAAATCATAGCCAACGTAGATCCGTTACAAATTTAAAAAAAAAAGTACAAGAAAACTGTAACTACCGCGGAACAGTGCCGGGGGTTAAATGAAAAGGAACCCTGCTTCCAAATGCAGAATAGCTGGGTGGTGAGGAGTAGACTTAAAAGATCCTCATTTTGTACCCAGTTGCGGAACTTGAGAAGACAGTCAAACTCCCCCAAAAAATAGAGAACGACTGACACCTATCCCAGTCATACCGCCATATGCGGAACCTTCCCGCCCCGATATACGCTAGGCTCGGAATGACACAGTGACGAAACGCAGCCCTACACATGTTCAGAAAGCACTGCCCTTGAGACAATTGAAGGGTTTTTGTGGGAACCCTAGTGAAAGTTTTCACGGACGGATCGGCCAACTTGAGAGAAAGAAATGCGGGGTACGGTGCGCTCATACTATACTGAATTTGGAGGGCCACCTAATGAGGAACTTTCAGGTCTCTGTTGACTGCGGGGGCTTTGGAAAGTGTGCACAGTACGTTGCAGGAGTGTGACTTGACGTTGTCATATTCTCAGATTCAAGATCTGCTCTCGAGATCTTGAATTAGGAATGCCCGAAACACCAACTTGGTTGAAGACATCTTGGATGACGTGGGCAAGATCGAGAAAATCGGACGCAAGTTAACGGTTCATTGGGTACCCAGCAGATGTAGCTGGTTGCCAGTGTGCTAGCCGGTGCTTTTAGCCTTAGCAGAATGTGTTTGTTAGTTATGCCGCCCTTCAATACATAGAAAAAAGTGCGCTTGGGGCGGACCTCTAACTTCAGCAACTCCCTTCTTACGTCGGAGTGGATATGTATTTATTGCAATAAAAGTGCATAAAAGGTGATTATCAATTGAATACTTTTATAGCGCTTGTATACATGCCATTTTAGCATTTAAAGGAATTACCAATTTAGAGGACTTAATGATGAACGGTAAAAGCTTTTACTATTAAATAATTAGTTTCCATTATGCTTGCTTGCGTGTGTTGGACAGCGGACATGTATTTTGCATACGTCAAGATATGTTTCCTCAATGCTGTGCTTGTTTTGTTTAATTCTTTTGGAGCTTGCACTCATCCTGGGATTCCATATCACTTGAGCGTAAATGGGCTCTCATTGTAGAAAATATATACATTTTATATTATTTAGTTCCAGTAATACGCTGTATAGTTTAATCATTAGAGGATTGCGCCTACCCCACTTCTGTTAACACAACAACTACAATGTACAAGTTTAATCAAATTAAATCCTTCACTTGTTCATTGAGCTTTGATCAGCTAGTTTTGTATTAAAAATGACTAGAAATATCGTCCTAAAGCTTTTTCTTTCCATTTTTATGTAGTGTTGTGTTTTTTTTTTGTTCTAAGTAGAAACACTGAAGGTATGTTATCACCAGGTTGAGGCCGTGTGCGTTTAGCTTACTAAACAATTATTTAAAAACAAAATTAGTGAACAGTTTCGCCATACCTCGTTTTAACAGGGAAGGCTAGCCGAAATATCTTGACGATTCATTTTAATTGCGAGTAAACTCTTTATGTGCTGCAAGTTAGTACACCTATCAAATAAAATAAACACCTAATTCAATTATAATTTTTTTATAAAATGAGATATACTACATTAATATAACACGTGCGTTTGTAACAAGAATGAAAAGAAGCGCAAATTGAATTTTTAAAAAGCAAAATCAATTTTGATATATTCTGCGGGCCACACCATGCAACGTGTCGGCCGAAGGTTGGCCATTCTTTCTTTATCCCAAAATAAGATTTACTCCCGTTGTTTAAGTTGGTGCTTATCGGTCATCATAGTAGCGCATTATTGATTGTGTTTCATGATTGCCAGCAAGATAATATTTAGTATATATACATACCGAGAATAAATGCATTGCACTACAAAAACATCTACACCCTTTTTTAGGCAGCAGAAAATATTATCTACGGTAATTCTTAATTTTTACAAATTCGTTATGAATACTGCTGACAGCAGCAACAAGGTTTGCTTAGATTTGAATTTAAAGTAACCCAAAAGCAACAAATCGAAAATAAGGGAATTGGAAAAGCTACTGGAGTGTAATATTGACATTTTAAAGGGCAGTTTAGTTGTAATTAACACTATAGGAAATAATGGCAACTTTTTGTTATTAATTTCAACACGATAATGTAATGCGTGTCTGCTTGTACTGTAACTAGTTTAATTTATATTGACATTTTAAAAATTTTAAGCGATTAAAATAAATATTCGTTGCATATGATGAAACATAAACTGGATTTTATTTCATAGGTTATTTCAGAAAAACAAAACATTGTATATCTGAGAGTTACCAGCTTAACATCAAGTCTGTAGCCTAGACATGGCGCCATGCAACGCTGCCATTCATTTTTAAAAAGTTTTTTTAACAAGATGTTTCTTCCTCTCTCTCTCTCTCTCTCTCTCTCTCTCTCCCTCTCTCTCTCTCATCTTCTTCTTCTTCTTCTTCTCCCCCCCCCTCCTCCGGTTTGTAGCTCTTTCCGTTAATTGTCTAAAGCTCGCCCGTGGAAAGAAGTGGTAGACTCCTGACCTCGACCCAGACGGTAAGAAAAACAAAACATTGTATATCTGAGAGTTACCAGCGTAACATCAAGTCTGTAGCCTAGACATGGCGCCATGCAACGCTGCCATTCATTTTTAAAAAGTTTTTTTAACAAGATGTTTCTCCCTCTCTCTCTCTCTCTCTCTCTCTCTCTCTCTCCCTCTCTCTCTCTCATCTTCTTCTTCTTCTTCTTCTCCCCCCCCCTCCTCCGGTTTGTAGCTCTTTCCGTTAATTGCCTAAAGCTCGCCCGTGGAAAGAAGTGGTAGACTCCTGACCTCGACCCAGACGGTTTTCACAAATGTACCGAGCATGAAGGGTGCCCATAGAATACACATGGCGCTGAAAACAAAAGGAAGAATGAATACGTTGGTATAATAAAGTAGACTATAAATAACAGAGGGTTCCTTTATGTTCAAGCCGTCAACTATCGCTTGGTTTGCACGTAGTTTCGACATTTTAGAATGCATTGCGCTAGAAATAAAATATGCATATACATTGGTGTTCCATCCCTTAAAATCTGACAAGATATTACATAGTTGCCTTTATATTCAAACTTAATTTGATGATTGTTTTGAATCCTCTTTGCATTTTGTTTGCAAGAAGCTTCTGGATCCATTTGTCCTCTTTGGTTACATATAACAAGCGCCAGCCACGCTGTTTATTCAAGTATATCGACCCTTGAATGGCAGTGTATATTTTTACGGTAAAATGCTTAATGTTTGACGTGATTTGATATGAGTAGAAGACCCTTTTTAAAACTCATGTTTTATGTCTAGTTTAAGTTATAACAGTCAGAATTCTGCGTTAACTTGCAGATGTAAGACAACGCCACGTAAGTGTTAGAGAACTTCTTAGATAGTTTTCAGTCATGGAAGTAACTAGAACGATGTAGCCGAGGCAAAGACCTATAACATTGTGAACAATCAAGGTATTTCTATAATAAATAAATATGGCCCAAGCAGCTTAAACCTGACATTAATCGTGCACAGAAAAAGCGGTAAATGTTATGCGATGTTAAACTATTGTATCGTTTGTATATCCATTTAGTTTGCCTTTCATAATGTCATCACTTGCTCAGTGACTCACCAAACATAAACAGTTGAGCAATTTAAATTCTAACATACAGGTACATATATTAGAATTGTGACAAGTTTATATCATAGTTTTTGTATATTGTGTTCGATCATGAAAAATAGTTGGCGAACGACTACATCACCTACTTAAACAGTTGGTTCGTGAGTTAAGCAGATATTTGTATCACTCTTTATGGTACGTGCAGACATGTTTACTCTTACGATTTTGGCGTACAATGTACGATTTTTAGGCGTATAGGTTGTATATACTGTTTATTTTTTTACTATAAATATAACGTATTGTACGATTTTGTGACGATATTCTACGATTTTAAGAGTTTGACGGTAAACAGGTCTGCACGTGAAACCCGTTGTGTCACTTTTCGCCAATGCCTAAATGCGCACATCTAGATTAGAAATAACGGAACTAAGTATAAGAATATTAATTTACGTCACTATAATTGGTTGGGTGACGTGGTCTTAACATGGCTTTATTTTAACGCTTCCGTGAATTGTGGAAAAGTCACTTGAATAATATGCCTATAATGCTCAGTGGATGACATAAGTCTTAAACCTCGTCTAAACTTTATGCATTGAATTGTAGGTCTGAACGACGGACGAAAATACGTTATACTTCATTGCAGGTATATCTTATCATTCTACCTTAAAATCTTCTTGTGGTGTGCTGTCTCAGCTTTCCCAACTGTCCTCTGGAATCGAAGGGTTATTAAACTATTTAAGGTGCTGGCTTCTATTATACTTACAGATATTTGTTATATAAATGTATCACATGATATCTCCAGAACCCAGCCAAAATATCTAAGCGGTTATAGCGCATGCATCCCCCCCCCCTCCCAGCCTATAACAGATGCAGTCCTCTAGCGCTCGTGTTTCTTACTTCCACTTGATTTCACCACGAAGCTCAGTCCTTAAGTGAACGCATAATTTAGCAAGTCAAGCTTGCCCGGCTTTGTCAACGGGATGATTGTCGCATGTGTGCTTGTCGCTTTCTAGCGGTCCATGTAAAACGCCCAGGGAGCGGTTAATAAAGGAAACCAGCTTGTTAAAGTCAGGGAGACAGTGTTGAGGAGATTTCCTAGGATTGTTCAGACCCCTGTCATTGCTCTGTCATTTCTAAGCCCGTCTCAGATCTATAACTTCCTTTATCAGTTAAATGAAGTGTTCATTATTTTCAAACCATCGATGCACTGTTGTTATCGCTATCGGTTTCGAACTAAAATGCTCTCTAAGTCATAGTTTATAAGTTTATTGCTTCAGCTGGCGACCCCGCATAAATTCCTTCGCAGCCCCATAATTTAAGTCACTTCTCATGGGCTGGAAACCAGTGCTCTATTAACTTGATTATCCAAAGATTTTAATGTGTCAAACTACCTTTATTTAGTTTTTTAAAATATATTTCCAAAATCAATATAGTAAGACATATACCAAGACATATACCCCGGCTTGCCTGCTTTTGAATTTCTCCAGGTGATCATATTAATAGTGGACAGTAAAAATAATGGTACGCCATAGTTAGAATGTCATGTAGTTAAGTTTTTATAAAAACCCGCGTGTGCGGCATAATTGTCTATTGGAGTTCCTCAAGGATCGGTCCTTGGTCCGGTCCTTTTCATCCTCTATACTAAACCTCTATCATCTCTCATTAGCCACCACTCAATTTCCAGTCAATCCTTTCCTTATCAACGTAATGCCACAATCCTTCGCATGCAGGACTGCGTAGACGACGTAAAGCGTTGGATGACTAGCAACAAACTGAAGCTAAATGATGATAAAACGGAAATCCTTCTCATCCACTCTCAAAACAAACCTCTGCCTCCATCCGCTCCTTCTTCTATATCTATCGGCAACTCTGACATCACACTCTCTTCCTCTGCCAGAAACGTTGGAGTCACGCTTACAGACACCCTCTCCATGGACAAACATGTCACGAACATCTGCAGAGCAGCATACAATGAAATTAGAAAAATCAGCACCATTAGACACCTCCTCTCCTTTGATGCCACAAAAACGCTCGTCTCTTCACTCATTCTTTCAAAATTTTACTACCGTAACACTCCTCTCGCAGGCATTCCTCAACACCACATAGACAAACTTCAGATGGCACAGAACTCAGCATGCAGACTCATTTTTAAATCAAATAAACACGACCACATTCAATTACACATGCAGCAACTCCACTGACTTCCAATATCCTCTCGCATCAAGTATAAGTCTGCCAATCTATGCTTCAACTCTTTCACTGACCCTCACTTTCCTGTCTATCTCTCTGAACTGTTGCTTCCTTACATCCCCACAAGACAACTACGCTCTTCAACTGACAATAGAACCATCTCAATCCCAAAAAACCAAAACTAAGACTATCGGTGAACGCTCCTTCTACTACCATGCGCCCACATTCTGGAACCAGCGCCCTTGGGGGGGGGCGTCTCAGGAGAAAAGTTTAGTATTAAAAAGTGTATACTGAATATCTAAGTTTGAATTATATCTCAGTATTTTCCTTGGCCATTAATTTAATCAAGATCTTATTGGGATTCTTGGAAATGGATCTCAGTGCTAAAGACTACATTTTACCAGTTCGTTATCTCGAGTTCATTTTAAACTGCGTGTCAGATAAGGTGACGTCTACTGATGGCCGGTCTGAGTCATGTTACCACAGTTTCCTGACCTTATTTGAAGGTTGACTGTTTGAATCGGACACCTCGTAGAGTCTGCACCCGGTAACCCTAAATCAAAAAGCCGATTTACCAATCACGCCATCAAATGCCTAACGATTCACTGTCTTTAAGTCGACTGATAATTGTACAGCAGCCGACCGATCATACAACCCAACGCGACAAGTGACGACTGTTGGTGGAAATGTACTTTTTGTACCGGCTTTTTTTAATTCTTTGTGCTTATTTCACTGCGAATTATTTATAAGTACTTAACCAAAACAAATCAACTAGCCATACAGCTGAGCCAAAAGAATTGGAAACAAAACACTAGTGTGTAGCCACCCACACCATTGTACCCTGTAGCATAACTGAAGACTTTGCTTTACATATTAAGTCCATCACGAGTGGGATTCCTACTGGGTCCGTTTCGATGATCAAATGAGACCTGCTTTGTGGGCAACTTGACTGACTCCGCAACCTCCTTCACGAAACCGAAGAATCGACCTGTTGATTCTATTATAAATGACTATACCTTATGGTTCGCTGTGAAGCTACCCACATGTCTGGTAGACATTATGAAACTATTGAACGATACTGTGACGACGATAAACTGGATATCAAACGACATGAGTCTTTGTCGTGTCATGGAAAGCTTTGAAAACCGTATTGAAGTTTCGTTATGGTCGTTGAACTTAAATCGAAATAAACATCACATCATCGCTTTAAACTACATTTTAAATTTGAAAACCATTGAAAGAAACGAAGATCAGTCAGCACGAAAGACGCTTTGCCAGAAAATGGAAGAAAAGATGAAAGTGCGTAAATTCAAGACGCTGTCAAAAGGATTGGAACAGAAGAAGCTAAAGCAAAAGATATAACGGTGTCAATCACGATGAGCAACAACAGCCGAAAATTTCATCAATATAGGTGACAATTGGAAACGCCTGAACTATCAGAAGCACGACGAGTATCAGATGCCGAATCTCATCTACAGAGACGACATCTGGAGATTGCAAAAGTCAGCGCTTACCCCAAGAGCGAAAAAGCTATCAGATCTGACGAGAGGCTATTCACTTCGAACAGAACCGCGTTATTGCACAATTGTGGTCCAATGGCTAAAAACTACCAATTCTGTCGACCGATGAACTTCAAGGCTGAGCGCCTGTCGGACAACAGGTACCACACTACACTTAACTCTACATACTGGACAGCCCTCAAGCCACAGACATTCGTCGGTAACCTCTATCGAATGATTAGTGCTGCCCGCGCATTCTGGGTCAAATCAATGTTTCTTTCGCCAACACAACAGAATTACAAGAAATTATCAGATGATGCGCGAAGTAGAAGCTAAAGCAACACGACAAACAAAACATGAAGGAGATCAGATTCCTGTGGTCAAATGGTGTTTCGACGAGATCGTCAGTGGGATTCTTGTTGCTTTAACGCACCAACATCGTACGAAGTCGCTATGGCGTTTGTAAATAAAGATGGTGTGACATCGTTCGAGCCTGACATCCGCATCTCCACTATCCTTAAATTCATTTTGCAACGTTGACTATTCCCCATCATTCCGGCTTATGCAATGACAATCAACAAATCTCAGGTACAGACATTCAAGAAGTCCCAAGCAAGTGAAAGTGCAAATTCAACCAAATTCCCAAGAAGTACAACTGCTGCTGGATGAACACCTGTTTCCCCGCAGTGTTGTTTTTAAGGAAGTATTCCATCTAAGAAAGTATTACTGTAAAAAGTGAGGGCAAAGCAAACTTAAGCTTTTTGTTTTTAATCCAAGAAATTCGATCATAACTTACTATGTGAACCATAAGAACCACCTTGCTCAAAATTGGCTTCTTTACACGGCCTACTTTTGCCCCGCTTTTCCCAACTTTAGGGAAAGCTTGCAAAATATAAAATTTTATGGAAAAATAAATTATATGCCTCCATGGTTTTCAAAGGGTTATTTCTACTATGAAATATTCTTACAAAGACAAAAATGTTTAAAGTAGAATAATTTAACACAAGACAGCAATGGAACTTTCCTCAGTGACAAATATTATCTTAAAGAGTTATTATTTAGATTTTCTTACAGCAGGGGGCGTGCTGGTAAATTCTGATACATTGGGGAATGAATGAATTTTTATATCTTTCAGTACTAAGATCGAGCTGATCTTAGGTAGCTGGGATGTATCCGACATTTTTTTAATATATTTTTTTAGTTTAACAAATGAATATTGCTTCAAAAGTTTTTCAAGTGAAGGTAGTTTTGTTTGAACGATATTACTTGCTTTCTTAATAAGTCTATTTAATCGGTGCTTGGTGAGAAGCGATTAATTCCCACACCAGCAGATAATAATGAAGTTCAAATAGGCTTCCTTCCAACTGTTGCAATGTATAATATGTTAATAGTTCGTTTATTATCGCCAAAATTTAATTTTTTTTAAAGAAAGAAAAGTCTTAGTTTAACTTTTTATATATAGACCGTGTTCATGCCATGTTTGTTTACTATTAAAGGTTGACACTTAGGTACTTGTATGTCTCTACTTGCTCTATATTGTGATTTTTTTTATTGTGAGGTCTGCAATTTGGTGAGGCTTCCTCCGGAAGAAATTTCACACCAGCAGATAAAACGTGTAACTTAGTTGCGTTATAAAATTTCCCCTTCAGATATTAAAGCCATCGATAGTGGTATCATCCGCAAATTAAATGATTTGACCGGTTTCGCTTCTGCTCTGGATATTCTCGGTATATAAGGTATACAAGACAGGGGAGAGAACACAACCTTGTGACGCCCCGGTACTTATTTCTTAAGTTTGAGATATATTTGGTTATTCATCTTGATATATTGTGGGCGATTTGTTGAAAGTTTACATTTAAGAAAGCTTAAATGGTGCGATAGTGTTATGTGGTCATGAAAGGTCCAAGAAAAGCACGCTACCCTATTGTTAGGGCTGTCTAGGTGATGGTAAAGTCTTTCTAACATATTTGAAATTAAAATTGGCGTGTAGAGCAGAGCTTTTATTCTTATCATGCATAATAATAATAACAACATTATATACCAATTAAATATTTTAACAAATAAACAGGCTTCAATGTGTAAACAAATTTATAGCAAAACATGCATACCCAAAGAAAAATGTAATTATTTTGTTACAAAATCAATACATACTATGTTACCTAAGAATGACTTTAACTAAAGGAATACGTGCTTTTATATTTAACTCAATAGTTGTTCGAAGTGTACGATACAATCAGTCTTTCCATCAAGAACTTTCTTAACATTTTATTTAATTCTCTTAAAATGTATAAGCGAAAGTGCTGTTTACTTTGAAGCATATGTACAACGGTGCTGTGGAACAAATCGAGATTATTGTTCTTGGACTGAAACCCAGAAAATGTCGACTATGTGGATCAGAAAATGAAAACCCACATAGAATTTAATATAATGGTTGCTGTTTTTTACCCCACAACAGATTAACCGAATAAGCGCTACCTGACAATAAGATTATACATGATATATTATGAATGTGTTTATCAATATGTGTAACATTTGCCGTATGTGTCAGAATTCGAACAGACCGGCCAAGTTAATAAAATATATCCAGTCTGCTACTGCTGCAGCTTATTGATTGTTATCTTATGGGGGGATTATGATAACATTCTTGAAATATGATGGCAGCCTGGCTTGTTTTGTATTATTAAACGGGAGAACAGGCAACGAGAAAATCAATTTGTTACTCCCGTGAGAAAATTGTAATCTTGCCTAGAGATGTTTTGAATTGTTGCTGCTTAAGAGCAGTACGATTGATAATATTCTCTTATTAATGCTTTCATACCGTATAGAATTGATCACTCACCACAGAGTACTCCGCACGTAAACAAATAGTAAACTTCACTCGTATCACTACGACAATAAGCTCAGGTGACATTTTACTCACTTCACTCTGACAATACTTTCAGGTGACATTTCACTCACATCACTGTGATAATACATTCAGGTGACATTTCACTCACATCAGAACGACAATACACTGAAGTGACATTTCACTCACATCCGTGTAACAATACACACAGATGACATTTCGCTCACATCACTATGTCAATACACTCAGGTGACATGTCACTCACATCACTATGACAATACAATAAAGTTACATTTCACTCACAAACACCATCCAACTTATTGACATTAATAAAGACAGTGGTTTTTACGTGGTTTTGACGTGTGTTGGCTGATAACAGGGGTGATATCGCATTCAAATAAACATTTTTCAACTGACCACTCTTTATACCAGAATATCTTGTAGACAAAATGTCAAGGAAACGAAATTGGGGAAATGGGAAGTCATGAATGCGATTTTGACTAGATAACCTTTATATTAATAATCAGACCGTTCTTTTTTAAATCTCCTTAATATTTGGTGAGTAAGAACAATTGACTCAACTATCTGTGTCAGACACAATTCTAAGTGGTTCTCCTGATATTGTATTGGTCAGTTTTAGTTGTATAGCTTCAAGCTAGAACGTACTATGACATAATTTTGATTTTTTTTTCCTTCAATTTCAACAGCCTGAAAATCTACTGTTCTACAGTCCCGAGGACGACTCTAAGATAATGATCAGCGACTTTGGTCTGTCAAAGATGGAAGGTTCAGGCATCATGGCCACTGCCTGTGGTACACCCGGGTATGTTGGTAAGTGACTCTCTGTATTTAGTAGATGTGAGACGGTAAAAATTGGTGAACCTGTCAACAGAAAGAAAAAACACTTACATACATTTTATCTTTACATGACTTGATAATCAGACAGCTCCTAAAAGTGCCCCATAACTTCTTTACAAAACTTGGTACTTGGAGATCTTATCCCGTACTAACCGCCTGGGCAGTCGATAGGGAAGGGCAAAGTAATATTGATGTGGTGTGTCGCATGCGGGTCAGTTGCTTGACCAAGGAATCAATGGTTTGGTCTTTTCAAATAGGATTAATGGAGAGTTAAGGGACTGTAACGCTGGGGACTTTTTGTACTGACCCTAGATTTTTTTGTCCGTGGGGACATTAGAGGACTTGGCTTGTTATTGATTGTACCGATTTTGTCTGTGGGGACATTAGAGGACTTGGCTTGTTATTGATTGTACCGATGTTGTCTGTGGGGACATTAGAGGACTTGGCTTGTTATTGATTGTACCGATTTTGTCTGAAAATGACTCACGGAGCTAACGCAAACTTTCTACAGCATTTACATTCTCATTATTATAAAATATGTGACGTTTTATAATACAGAATCAAACACTTTGTTTTTAAATTTACCATTCCTTCTTCTTCCTTTTTACACAGCGACACACTAAAATGAATTCTTGCATAAAATTCTTAGACATACCATATTAAGAAAACTGTTGACTGGGTCGGTATGACACTGGTTGCAAGCAAATAATTGTCAATGTCACAGTGCGCGAAAGACCCTAAATTTTATATATGAAAAAACAATGCTTTTTTAAACATAGTCGTGTACCTAAATAAAGCCACACGACGAATGTCTTGTATTTATGCTGGGCATTTCAATGTGTCAATAATTTAGTTTTACACTGCTCCCTTCGGCCAAATGCCATCAGTAAAATTGTGAGTACTGAAAAATTGATTAGACACGAGCCTATGCAGATAATCAAAACATGGCTTTCTCATCATAAATTTTATTGTCCTTTTAATCTTATCACACAACAAAGGTGGGGAAAAACTGTCGCCCCCACTATCGTTGGCAATCTGATGTGAGCACAGATAAATCAATAATGGTTTGTCTTTTTTATTTTTTAAGTAACAACTCTTAACAATTGTTTTATATTCTTGTTTACTGGTTTTTATGTTGATTATACTTGCGTTTTAATTGGTAAAACATTTATCTAAGTTTTGGTTTAACTTAAAACTTAGCAAAATAAACTTATTGGTAAATGTACATTTAGCTGTCTCTTGCCTAAGTGTGGATGCTAATCGTGTTAGAATTAATGGCGGCAGTTCGGATATTGAATGACCATGGATGATTGATGTGACACGTGTTACATATATAAACAGGTCTAAAACGTCGTGATGCACCGCTCAATTCGCTGTGCGCGTCCAATGGGCTGTGAATCTTTAATGCGTTGGGTGTACATTGTTGTGGATCTTTTTATTTTTTTCCATTTTTTGGTGTTTATGTTGAACATTTCAAGAAAAAGATTTCACGAGTTATTACTTCTTGTATTTCTATGGTCTCAGTGGCTATCAGTGGTGACGCAATAATAGATGCCAGAGCTCTTAGCCACAGACACGGAGACATAAATTCTCTAGAATTGTTATGATTCCAGGCTCTAAAACTTTGTGATTTTATCATCTTGCTCCAAGTTTGTCTCAACTGTGAGCGAGCGGATATCAACCACGTGACTATATGTAGTAAGCTCGTGCTAGTAGCGAGAGTCTGATGTCATGTCGGTAACCCTCTCTGAGGGAGTCACCCGTTGGACAGACCTATCTCCTGGGGTTAGTCCCGACCAACAGCGGGCGCGCACTGCATGATTCAGTGTGAAATAAGCTCACTGAACCTTATCGGCTCGCTGAAAGCAAGAAATTTTCCAGGTGTAGTCATATAGTTTGGTCCAAGTCCTCACAAACAGAATAACCAATATAGTTTAGTTTGCTTTTCACTCGTTGCTTAAAATGTTTCCCCTATCTAATACTAATACAGTCGTGGTTAATTGCATGAACCACTACATCCAAACACTTCCTTTTCTGACCACCCATTTCCGTTTGCTTATTGCGTGACTTAAATTTTTCAACTTCTCTCTCCCCCTCCCCTATGTTCCCTTATTTATCAAGCAACATTCGAAACCTCTTAGGTCACTCCACCTCCTTTGTCCCCGTGTTTCCACCTCCGGGAACCTCTTGTATCACCCTCCTTCCTCTCCATATATATATATATATATATATATATATATATATATATATACACTTATACATCAATTTACTTAGAACCCACCATTATGTTTATGATATAATAAAATGTATGATATATAAACCAGGGGTCTCCAAACTACGTCCCACGAGGCCAGTTCACCTGGCCCGCCGACGGTACTTGAATTGGCTTGATAAAATGTATGTTTACCCTCGAACTCCTAAAATCGTAAAATATCGTATAATACGGTATCTTAATAGTAAAGAAATAAAATCTATATATTAATTTATTGTATTCATTTTATATACTATATGAACTACTCGCATCGTTATGCCTAGTAGGATCGAGTGAAACTGGCGTCAAAAATTGTAGCTACTAAAAGTAGATGACCGACGTTTGTAATGAAGTCTGTCGTCACTTTGTTTTGTAGACGTGAAATTGCTATTGATATTAATTATATTTGAGTGGACGTAGAACCTGTCACTGGTTAAAAAATAAAATTGCTGGTGAAATTTAACGTGGTTCAAACTCCAAGTCAGATCAGCATAAAACAAGATGTATTTAAATGAATTTATTAAGCAATAATATCTTTTTAAAACCTACCAAGTAGCTCGAGTTTTTTTGTTTTTTTGTACATTGCATGCCACTCACTAAAATACTAAACTTAGTTTTTGCCCCCCCCCCCCACAGCTTTCGTTCTGGCTTGGAAGTATCGTATTATCCGGCCCGCTCTCGTCATTTTTTCCGTTATCCGGCCCGTCGTGAAAAAAAGTTTGGAGACCTTGATATTTACATTAATTAATTTAGAACCCAACAAAGAAAGGAAAGAAATAGCGGCCCCAATTATTCAACCCGTAACTTCCTATGCTAAATGTATGATTTAAAGAGCGGTTGCCTGCTTTTATCTTTTACACCCGTCAATGTTTTTTCCTTGGGCTGATCTTCTATATACGTTACATTACCGCGTATGAAACCATTCACGGATATGATAGATAGCATTTTGTTGTTGTTGTAGTAAAAAAAACTAGAATGCCATGCCATGTTATGATGCAATCTTTTAATCTTGTTCGGATTAATAATAAAATAGGCAATAAGGAAACTATTTATACATATAAAATCAGGCTGATGCGCTCATTAGTCCTCTCCATTTTCCTGTATGCCTGCGAATCCTGGACATTAACATCCGATCTTGAAAGGAAAATAAAGGCAATGGAGATGAGATGCTTCAGAAGCATTTTTGGCATCTGTTATAGGGACCATATCTCCAATGATACAGTGAAAGAAAGGGTTCGCCAGGCAATTGGGTACGATGACCTAGTGGTGACTGTGAAAAAACGAAAACTACAATGATACGGCCACGTAACAGGGAAACAAGGGCTTGCCAAAGAAATATTGCATCACAAGGCATCACAAGAGGAGGGAGAAGAAGAGGAAGACAACGAAAAAGATGGGAGGATAACATCAAAGATTGGACAGGACTAACACTGCGCATTGCTGTGCGTAGTGCAGAAGACATAGACGAATGGAGGAGGATAGTTCACATGTCATCTGTGGCGCCCCAACGGTCCAAGGACTAAGGGACATGATATATTCCTTAAAATTATAATAATATTTAAAAAGATTGGTAATATCGATACGACCATGTTAATACCACGTGAAGCGGCGCTATTTCAATTACTTTCTTTACACGAAGATGCGATGCGCCCTTGGTCGGCTAATGCGATTGGGTCGAGTACATCTCATTGGTCTCAGAGGAATTATCCGAATAGTATAGAAATATATCGTTAAATTAAATATTGCTGACAGGCGCGACCGCGTAAAATGCGAACCCCTAACTTGAAATACCATTTTAAACCATACTTTTCTCTTGCACTACGCATTAATATATCGTATTTGAATGGATTCACTCTGTCATGGGTGGTTTTTTATTTTTTTAAATAATCATGTCTAAAATATTATCAGCTTATTCGTATTTAAAGGTTAAATAAGATTGTAGTACATGTAATGAATATTACATCTCACTTCTATATTATCATTTTAATTCATTCAAATTGTACAAATGTCTAAACAATAATTTATATAGCGATCAAAAATTTACCAAAAAGTTAATGTTTGCATAATTAAAACTGTTCTTCAAATATTCAATTGTATTCAGTTTTAATTGTATTAAAAAGTATGCATCCTGTTAGTCAACAAAAGAGTTGTATCTATGGGCTTTGTTGTATAATTTTAAGGTAGATTTAAAACCTGTCTGTTTAATGCTACTTTTTAAAATGAAAATTACAATTCTATTGCAATAACGAAAAAAAGGAAAACAGTTGAAAAGATGCTGCTTATGACTGACGGAGGATAAATTTTCAATGAATGTACCATTTCGCTCTGTCGGTCTGCATTATTAACACTGGGGTTCATCAAGCCAAAATACATAATTTGAATTTTTTGATGATGGTAATATTTAGAGCCAGCGATGAGCTGTGCCTTGAGTAACAAGTAAAAGAATGGAACAAAAAAGTATAACTTGTTTCTGAAAAGTCAAATTTCCCATTTAATTTCGGTTAAAATATAATTTAACAGCTAGTTCTTCATTCAATTTTATTTAATAATAGTGTTCCATGATTTTTATAGTGTGTCAAAGTTTACTTTTCATTCGCCACAACTGAGAAAAGGTCGCCCACCCCGGTGTAGGAATGGTTATTCAGTAATGATACGTTTCACGGCGATCAGATGTAAAATTTAAAGTAAATGTAAAGTAACATTCCACACAATGTCCTCTTGTAATTGATGTAAAGAGCAAATCTACCGCGCACGTGAAAGACAGTCATTTTTGGGCACCAATCAAAATTTACATGAAATGTTCATGACCGACCTACCCACATGGTCAAATCATGACACTATTTCATTTGCTTAGCTCATCTGAAAAAGGAAGGGGGGAAAAACACATTTTGGCAAACGTGGGCCAACCTGTGGCCGGAAAAAAAAATGATCTAGCCTATTCTGATTCTAGGATAATAGAGAGAGAACTGTGGAAAATTTTAGCTCTCTAGTTTCAGTAGTTGTTGAGTCTATTACCGTCAAAAAATGCTACAAACACACAAACCAAAATTAAGCTTTATATAGTATATATATATATATACAAATATATATGAAAACCATCAGGAACAAATGGGCACCTGGCCCCAACATGCATAGATAATAGCAGAGATGCTGAGTAGTGTAAATCTCCAACTTATTGTTTCTCATATAAATTGTCAATAAATATAGTTGCATGGGTTTGGTCTTGAATAAAGTGCAATAAATAAATTGATATATCTCCTACGAATCTCATTAGATACGGAGCGTCACGTCTTTGATTGGATTCACGGGAAGCCAATACTATAGGTGTCCTGTATAGTAATTATTTTCAGAATTGGAAACTTTCAGCTCTAAGGGATCAAGTGCGTTTCTAGAAATGCGTGGGAGGTATAGAAGAAAAAAATGGGTGGTCGAGTTACCAAAGTCTGCCACAGAGATCGATATCGGAAAATAAAATAAATATTCCAGGGGTGTGCGAGCAAGAAATATTTCATTGGCCAACTTTTGATTGCTTTAGCAGCCCGCAACATGGTTGTTAGCTCTGTGACAACAGCAGGATCTACAGCCAGTGGCGTCTTGTGGAAAGTACTTGTACTTTTCGACTTCATCACGGTGGACATCGGTTGGTACTCGGGCTGGTCGCTGGGGGCATTTTATTGTATTGGAAATTGTTTACATTTTTTAAAAGGTGGTTGATTTTTAGTTGCTATATAGTTGCCTCACTGAATTTGAGGTGGGGGGTGGTCATTCCTTCTATATAGTCCATTCCTAGTTGCTTAGAACATTTGCAGGATAACATACAGAACTGGCTTAGAGTCATGGCATGGTGGCATTCAGAAATATCTTAGAGTCATGGCACGATGACACACAGAACTGGTTTAGAGCCATGGCATGGTGGCATTCAGAAATAGCTTAGAGTCATGACACACAGAACTGGTTTAGAGCCATGGCATGGTGGCATTCAGAAATAGCTTAGAGTCATGACACACAGAACTGGCTTAGAGTCATTGCACTGTGACATACAAAACTGGCTTCGAGTCATTGCACAATGACATAAAGAACTGGCTTAGAGTCATTACACGATGACATACAGAACTGGCTTAGAGTCATGTCACTGTGGCATTCAGAACTGACTTAGATTCACTTCACGATGACATACATAAATGGCTTAGAGTCATTGCACGATAACAAACAGAACTTGCTTGGAATCATGTCACGATGACATACATAACTGGCTTAGAGTCACGTGATGATGACATACACAACTGGCTTAGAGTCATGTCACTGTGGCATTCAGAAATGACTTAGAGTCATGTCACGGTGGCATTCAGAAATGGCTTAGAGTCATGTCACGGTGGCATTCAGAAATGTTTTAAAGTATGACATACAGAACTGGCTTAGACTCACTTTACGATGACATACAGAACTGGCTTAGAGTCATGGCACGGTGACATACAGAACTGGTGAGGCTCATTAAATAGGCTGCAGAATGTCAGTGTGATCAAACTGAGTGGGTTGTTTTGTGGTGTTGTTTTCAAGCACACGCAAAAACACGATTTTATTCAATGGAATTATGAGAGACAGTTAATCCTGTGTTATGTAAAGCTTGACAGATTTATTTTCCCCAAGACGATGTCAGAAACATAATGTCCTGCTTTTTGCATGTCCCCTACTAATGAACTACCTTGGTTGATCGCCTTATATATCAGAGCAGTCAGAAGGAATGTGGCCTAAAGTTACAGACTGGACATTGACTTCGGTATAGTCTCCTCAGAAAATGTCCGTACACGTTATGGCTCGAAAAAACCTCTTTCTACGTAACCTTGACCTTCCCTATTGACAATTTCCAATGTGTAAACAGCGGCGTCACCTCTCACTTTGCTTTGGACAAACAATCGACCCGTGATTAATTGATCTCTTGCCTTGAGCACCAGACGCGCACGCTCGTGGTCACGGAGTCTCATCCAGGGAGATCCCTACAGGCCAGAGGTCCTTCCTGTACGCCAAAGGCCATCCCTGTATTCCAGGGGGGGGGTGTGTGTCATCCCTGTATGCCATATTACACTCCTGTAAGCAACTGGCCATCCTTGTATTCCAGAGGTCATGCCTGTAAGCAACTGGCCATCCCTGTATTCCAGAGGTCGTTCCTGTACGCAAGGGGTCATCCATGTAAGCAAGAAGTCATCCCTGCATGCCATGGGCATCCCTTTTACCTGGGGATCATGAGTTTTGTTTGTGACACCCCCACTCCTCCTCCTTCGAGCAAACACCATATCTAGGAATCCTACTATTTCCATTGATGACGCCGATACCCCTGTCTTAGAATAGTCCAACTTTACGGCAAGCCCCTTGGTCACGCTAAGTCAATATTGTTTTTGATGCTGTAGCACCGGGAAGGGGGGCACTGACGTTTTATAATTAGAGCTAGAGCGCACACAAAATATCTACATTTCTACAGCTTCTGTTTTATGTGTAAAAAAATTATAACATGAAGGTTTTTAAAAAAAAAATTTTTTATAGTCAAGACAGATCCAATGACTTAAATTGCAATGGTTATATAGTTTCACGTTGAGCGAGAAGTTTTTAGGCTTGTGTCAACTCACTTAATGTTGTACATAAATGTGCTATCAAAACCCTCCTGAACTGACAAATAAAACAACTTCTATTTTGCTTTCAGTAAACGCCATCTCAAAGTAATAAAGTAATAATTTTGTTCAATATGATCCGCATCTGCTCCTGGATCTCTTCAGTTGTCAAATATGCGTTACATGAGAGTATCAACGTTACGTGGGGGTGGGGTAGGGGTTAAAGAAATTGTATGATGTCATCGTCGTGAAAAGAATAGGTGAGGAGGGACTACAAAAATGTTATTGAGCAAATTCTTGTACACACATCAAAGCCTAATCACTATTTTTGGTTTACATACAGTGCCCCAGTAATAAATTTTCCTTATCATGTCTTTCTACTGGAAAGAGAAGAATAAAGCTATAGTGAATTGGGAGGGTAATCAATCAAGCATAATCGTTTTCTTCTTTTTCTTTCTTTTGTTGTGGGTGTGGGAATGTGTCTCTTGTTATTAATCAATTAATGTTTTTCTATGATGAAGCATGTTGTAGTAGAATAATTGGGAGATCCAACTCCGATGTTACGGGGTTGTTTTTGTTTTTCTTAGTGCAACTTTGCCTATACTCTTTGATAAAACTCTGAGCTGCCAGTCAGCTAACTCAAACCACCACTTGTGAATGTCATGAACATGTGCATATGAGGTGAACATGTGCTCATGGGGTGTTTACTCCTATCCATTAATTGTACTAGACACGGCATGGGGCTATAGGAAGCTTTACATTAGTGTTTCACATATATCAACGTTGTTTGTTGGATGGTGTGTTATAATTAATTTTGCTATTTTACAGTCTTCATAAAATTGTATTAACTAGCCATTTTAACTTTAAGATCGTCATAGCTTTGCATTTGTTTAGTCAAGGCCCATTAAAATGTAACCACCTCTGTTCCTGAAAATGAGGACATACAGATGGTTAGGTTTTTTGGATTGTGATGAAAGGGTGAAACTCTGCTCTAGCACATGCTTTGCAGGCTTTAAGTAAATATTAAACCCTTTAAGGGAGACAAGTGATGGTACCATGCAAACAGATGGCAATGCATAGCCAAAACAGATAACCTGTTAAAAACAGGATTCTCAAAACTGATATCCAGTTTTCTGGATTCTTAAAATTTATATCCAGTTTTCTGGATTCATAAAACTGATATCCACTTTTATAGTGTATAGTTTTGATTATCTCCTTATGTATATTTAGGAATGCCAGCTACTGGAACCAGTAAAGGGCGGCAGCCTGACAACAAGAGGTTTTTTTTATATTGATTGCTATCTTCATTTTTTTTTTTTTATTTGTATTGTATTATTTATTGATTAAGTTAGAGGTCTGAGCCTTTTTTGTTATTCATTGTCTAGCCCAGCAGCAAGTTTTTATATTTAAAAAAATTGTTTTGTTTCAGTAATTGAAGACCTGAACCATTTTCATTGTTATTTTATTTTTTTGTTAAATTGTAATATTTTCTTTTTTTTTCCAGCCCCAGAAGTACTAGCCCAACAGCCGTATGGCAAAGAGGTGGATTGTTGGTCCATAGGTGTAATAGCTTACATATTGTGAGTAATTCATACATGTAATAATTTTTTGTATCTTGTATCTGCTGAAATTAGAAACCCAGTTTAGTCTTGCATTATAATTTAATATTTTAAAGTGTGGACAATTATCAATTAACTAATGTCCAAATGCACATATTTAATGCATTACATTACATATTACTATTTCATCAAATAGCCATATTTATATATATTTATTTATTTATTTATTTAGGCATTTTTATATAGCGCTTATCATAAAGCTCTAAGCGCTTTACAATTATTAAAACATGTAAACTAAGTAAATACAAATGAGACACTAGGATAGTAACTACTATTCTATAGAAACAATGAAAATGGCTATAAAACGAGGACACTTTGACACTTCAGGATCAACCCGAAACAGAAAATGAGGTAGGGCAAGGAGGGTGCATCACAGGTCATAGGCGGACCTAAACCTATATATTCAAATATAAACCAGAATAATATTATTTAAAACATTACATCCAGTATAGGCATAGATGACCCAGTAATTCTAACCTCAGCAAATTATCACCCAGTGGAGTTATTTTACTTTGGGTTTCTTTCCTCCTTCCTGTACATTGTACCTGACTAACAAGTCCATTCCTCCTCTCAATTTTACCCATAGATGTCATATTCCCTGGAAAATATCTAAACCTACTATCTCTTGGTTGAAAGGAAGGAAACATTGCCACTTCATCATGGTGGCCATCATTTCCCATTTTTTAAAAAGAGCTTTGTGAAATAAATGTTAAAGGTTTCCCTTCCCAAAAATCAATTTTTGACATTTTCTTGTACACATGGATAAAATCTTTGTTGCAGGTTATGTGGTTATCCCCCTTTTTATGATGAAAATGATGCAGAGTTATTCAAGCAGATTTTAAAAGCTCAGTATGAATTTGATTCTCCATTCTGGGATGAAATCTCTGACTCAGGTATAATTTTTGCAACATTTTTGCTTATGTAACGATTAAAACAATTATAAATTTGATGAATCTTGAAATATAATTAATGAGGACAAGAATTGTTTGGTTTAGTTAACTGTACAGATTACATTATTGCAAATCATTATTCATGTGACAAGTATAATTTTGTGTGTGCTAAACCTGTAGTTAGTCCTAGATATTATTTTTGCACACAGCATTATTAAAATTAAAAAAAAAAAAACAATTTCTGTATTTAAAAAGAAATAGCTCAGACTGTTTTTTAAGACTTCATTTTTAAACTAACTTTTCCTCTTTATTTAAGACAGTGGTTCTCAAAGTGGGATATCCCAGGAGATTTTAGGGGGCGCCTGAACTCTGAAAGAGGCGCTGGTGCCTAGGGGGTCTTAATAGTATAAGAATTATGTTTTTTAATGACAATATTTTTGAAAGAAATACTGTTTTGATGGTCTGCTTTCAAAAAGCATTGAGGATGAACATCATTTAATTGTTCTCTACCCCCCCCCCCCAAACTAAGACATCATTAAATACTTTTTTGATGGTCTCCTTTCAAAAAACATATAGGAATAAAACAATTTAATTTTTTTCTCCCCCCCCCCCCCCCCAAACTAAGACATCATTAAAATCTAATACTATATTCTGTGAAAATTAATAAAGAATAATTACCAGGAAAAGTTTCCAAGGAAAAATTCACATTTTGCATGCAGCACAAAATTGAGCTAATCACTCTGGTACAAATCACAAGGGATCAATGATGTCGGAAAAAGCATAGATGTATCCATTTTTATGGATTAGGATTTATTTTTTCTTGCAATCACATTGCTATGAGATTGTGAGTGTTATTAAGTTTCATTCCTCTTACACAGCAAAAGACTTTATTCGACATTTGATGTGTAAAGATCCTAAAGAAAGATATACATGCAAGCAAGCCATTGCTCACCCGTGGTGAGTAAAATTTTGTTCAGTAGTACCCCACCCGTGGATTTCAACCATTGTGCTGTGACAATCGGGACTGCCTCAATGATACTCAAAGGGGGCAACAACACTTTTAGAAAATAGTAAAAATCAATTAATTTTGAAATATAATGCAAAGCCTAAGGCATATGTAGAATTCAACTTATTTCCAGCATTAGATAAACCCTTCATGTAATATCAGTTTTCTTTGGTGGGCAGTCTGAAATAAGAGTTTTTGCATGCTCTAATATTGAACTTAAAACAGTTTCCTACTTTATGCCTCTGGTCCCATAAATATAATATGCATGCTAAAGAAAAAATTCCTTGCAATTTCATGATATTTTTTAATGATTGCAATCATTTTCTGCACCATAAAAGTCTCTAAAGTTTTGTTATTCTTCAGTAAAATGAGTGCTATCATAGAAAGCTGACTTTTATTTGTATGCCCTCCTCAGGATTTCTGGTAACGCAGCCTTGAGCAAGGATATCCATGCATCTGTAAAGGCTCAGATGTTAAAAACATTTGCACGGACCAAGTGGAAGGTAAACCAGATAGAATATTTATGTAAAACATCATCAGTATTTATGTTTTTATCAATACTCATATGACATTCCCTTTCCTCTTTCTGGCCTGCACTACCTGATGTGTAGAATAGTTGATTTTGTCACTAGCTTTCAACCTCTCTTATAGACAGTGCAAGTATTTAAAAGCATCAGTTTAATCTGAAAACATGTTTAAATGACTTGCAGAAGCTATGTGTAAGGTAGTTTTTAAATGGAATTGGGTTGGCTTCTTAATAAAGGGAAAACAATTATCAGTTTTAATTTTGAGAAATGCAAATCCAGAACATCTACTGTTAATTTTCTCTTAGTTGTTTCTCTAACTCGGTTGTTCTTAACTTTTCAGCAGCGCCACACACCCTTTTGATTATGGTTACACAAAACACTTTGTTTTTATCTCCTCAGCAAGCCTACAATGCCACAGCTGTTATCCGACAGATGAAGAAGCTGGTTGTGAGTAAGGAAGAGAACACTAGCAACCACGCCCCTAGCACCCCTCTACCCGCCAGCACCCCTCTACCCGCCAGCACGGCCACTGCTAGCAGTACAGAGTGAAACGCTTGTTCAAGATTTTTTTTTAAAATTTCCGTTGTCTCAATGAGACCCCTTATCATCCACCAAGGCCCGGAGATCATGCATCAGGAGAGAACCGTTCTCATGCACTGTAGCTTTGATTCAGGGTAAAAGTGCTGCGGGTCCATCTAATTTCTTCAATATTAACTTTGTGAAACGTGTAGTTGTATGTGACTTTATGAAGATGACAGTTTCCGTTCAGGTGGGAACGGTGAAATTTTGGGAGACATGAGAGGAGAGTTTTCGCAATGGACATGGGTTCTGAATTTATACAAACATATCACTTAAGAATAAAAATTATCTCTATTTACTTTATAGATAGCTCACTTTCACTTCTTAGTCATTTAAGGAGAAGGCGCGGGGGGTGGGGGGGGGGAGAGTAAAGACGCTCCAGATTTGTTATAGTTTTTATTATTTGTATGGAAAGCATTCCTTGAAACAATCAAATTGGACTCTTCGTGTTGTGAGCACCGTGATATCGTTAAGAGAAATAATTGATTTCAGTTCTCTGAGCCAATAATTTTTTTGTGCACTCAATTGCATGTTGCGAAATGGTGATTAAAATTGTACACCTGTCTTAAACCATAGATGTAAACTTTAACTATTGATGTACATTTTTTATTACAATAAGTTTTTTTCTGTTGAATTTGTTTCAAAAATATTTTGTTGTCAGTATTTTGTCAACATGCCAAGTGTGATTACATGGAGTTGTGTCTAAATGCATTTTTTTTTTCAATGCCATTTCTGTAACTGAGTGTGTTCATTATGTTGCCATTGTGCTGTTCTTCATTATGTTTGTTTGGCTGGAAGAAACTACACATTTACTCTATGTATTATTAGAATGTTGAAAAAAATTTTTTAGACAGTTTTACCCAAATACAAAAATATGTTTACCATATTTACTTGACAATTAGCAATGATGGTTTCTCTAAGTATTAGTATATGGGCATTTATTTTAAAATTTTATGCTCATCAAAATAGACTGATAATGTTATTTATAATCAAGCAAAAAGTTGTTGAATAATATACCCTCTGTAGCCCAGTACAGATTGTTCCTTTTACTACTGTTGATAATATGATGAATCTGTTTCTCCTACAATTCAATTTTAACATTTCAACGTTATAAAAAATTCATGCTTTGGGATTCCAGCACCAAAGTTAATGCTTCAGGCATGAAGTGTTGTGGAAGCATGTTTTTACAAATTAAATGGTTTATTGAAATTTCAATGAGTCGATGAAAGACATTTAACCTAATGTTTTTACCGAATGGGAAGAATGCATTTTTTTAACTTTTGCCAGGAAATAACCAAGCAGTAAGTTTTTATGCAAAATACATTTTTTTAATTGGAGATTTAAAATCAACTTTTGTGAGTTTTTCAAGCACAATTATTGAATGTTTTTCGTTTTTTTTAAATAAGTTGTCTGTACCTTCTTTGATTTTTAGTTTAGCTATTCTATTAGGCATGGAAGTTTGTCATTTAACCGGCATAGCATTTCTTCCATGTTTTTATTACCTTTATTTATTGATTGATGACTGTCAACACTCCCTGGTTGAATGTTATTGTACATTCATTGATACTACAATTATTGTATGTGTTTGAGTCTTTTACTCTACCTTTAAGTTTCAACATTTTTTCTATTTCTTGTACAAACCCAAAAGCCTCAAGAACAAGACAAAGCTTTACCAGTATCTAATGGGTGCTTAAATACAGTTGGTCCTTGGTAATAATTAGTTATTTAAATTTTTGCAGTTGATTTGTACATGTTTATTGATAATAACAGAAGATGAAACAAATAGTTTGGCCTGACAACATTGACATATATAATTCATCTGCCCTATGAATAAAAAAATCTAAAATTAAACAAATAGAAATATGTTAATTATTAATTTAACTTGCTGCTCTCAATCATAAACATAATAATTTATATGAAAATGAGGCCTGGAATAATTATTATTACCAAATATACTGTGCTCATGTGACAAAGCAATATGCACAATTTTGTTGCCATTGTCATCATTCTTTTGTGATGACAAAAATGTTGCAACTTAAGTGAGCAAAATAATTTTTAGTTGAACATTATAGCCAAAAAGGGACTACTCACATTAGTGATGACAAAACATTAGGAAAGACAAAAAATGAATGTTGAACCATGAAGAGTCCATAACATTTCTCCCATCTTTGCATTATGCCATCATAGTTTGCTGAATATGTTGCTTTATGACCATGTTAAATCTTTTCCTTTATAAAGGGATGCATAATTAAAGTGGAGGGCTTTGGATAATTATTTGGCTCATACAGATGTCAAAAAAAAACTTTGATGGTGTACTATAAATTAAAATGTGAGGCTTATTGTAATTTTAGCATCAGTTTTTATTAACTGAATAAGAAAACATATTTATTTTCTACCACTACCAATATTTTTTATTAACCTGATGTGGTGAATTTGTTGCTATACTTTGGTATAGTTTGGTTTGATGTCACATTCAACTGCTTGTTTACACAACTGACAGAGCACAAATCTTATTCTGTAGGGGGATTTTCTTGTGTAATATTATATTTTATCGATTTTTATCATGACCCCCCACTTCAATAAGCGTCTCAAATTTAGGAACGATTTGATAACATGATATAATTTCTATTCTGCTAATAAATTAGCATATAAAATTATTGGCCATTTAATCCACCAATACAATAATTTATGATGTAATAGTCCATGACATTTGTTAATATTTATTTGGTTTACAACATTTGAACACACACAACATATGAACACCCACTCCCTGTATTATTTTAGTTTTTTCTATTGGAATCATTTTGTTTTATATCAACTTGCAAAAGTCAAATCTATTTTAAACACTGAATCAATCAGATTTTTTAAAACCTACAACTGCCCAACTAGAATAAAGTTTTAGAGGTTTGAAAATATTTTTATCCTAAATTTGGGTACAATAATAATATCGCACAGCATTGCTAAATATGACAAGATATACTGTACTCTTCAATATACTCTTATACATTTATACAAAGTTGCTTCTAATGAATTGATATTTATATACTCAAGTTTATAAATTAAATTACATTTCCCTTTTCTATGTGCTATATTGTAAACATGGGACAGAACTAAGTTGACATTCCTGAAGTAATTAAACAAAAAGTAAGTTAAACTTAAGTTGTCAGCTCTGAGAATTATCTACAATATATAAGCCAAGAAATTGGGCAGCTTTTGATAGTAATTTCCCTGATATAAATATATAATAGTGCTAAACCAGCATAAGGACAAACTTTTAATGAACATTTCCTGTATTACTGAAATGCATTTGTTACCTGAACTGATAAGAGTGATTTTTAAAAATGATATTGCATATCATTGATTTTTAAGGGAAGTAGTTAATAGTTTTTCTTTGAAAAAAGAAATATTAAATCATATTTTTATAAATTTTTTTGAAGCCACTTGCGAAAGCCACAATCACTATGGTAAAAACATTTGTTATTTAGGAAATCATTTTTTAGCATTTAGGAATGCCAATAATAATAAGTGAAAACATTAAAATACTTTTGTCTCCGCATTTGAAGAAATAAACATGGCTTCAAATGTTTTTCAGTTTGTTTAATGGAGTTTTCTAGAAAGTATGAAATCCATCAGTTTTTTTTCAACTGAAAAAGTGCAACATTGTTTATCTGGTGCCTGCTGGAAACAAAAGAAGAAATACAATACTATCCTTAAACTTAAATTTTATCAGAATTACAATGCTCATAACAGGGTCTCAAATACTTTAAAACCATTGAGTTGGTTTCATAGACAGTTATTAAAATATGAAGAAATATATTTTATTAAATAAAGGACAATAAGTGTCATGAGCCTGGTCATTTATTTTATTTCACTTAATTTAATCTTTACATATTTTTCTCTCTCACTTTTTGTTGCAATAATTTGTGTTAACAGTTTTGCAACTGTACATTAACACAGACAAAAAAAAAAAAGAAGATCAGTTTATTGCAGCTGAGTCACCAAAGCTCATGCAGCGCAGCGTAAGCTAAACAATTCTTTGGGTTAAAATTTCATGTAAAGCCTAAGAAATAGTTGTTCATATATTTTTGACATTCCATTAAACCAATCCCAGCTGTAACCAAAAAAAATGTTATGAAAAAAATTAAATCCCTGAACATCAACAATGTGCACTGTGCAGCTTAAAATCATACAATGCATCTGTCCCTTTATGAATTAAGTTAGGCCAATCATGATATCATTAACTCTGTGATACACACACATGAAACATGTGTTTGCAATATATTTAGTCATGTGTTAAAACTTTGAATATGTTGACTAAATCTATTTCTAAAGTTCCAACATTTGAATTAGTAGCGGTGTTACTAAATTTTTATAACAAAATTTGATATTCTGAAATAAAAATCAGTTTGTAATATTTGATTGTCTTATAGATAATATTTTGCTATTTTATAGATATTTCCTTGAGATTTTTTAATTTTTTATATTACAAGCTGTATTTCAATTTTAGGTAGTGTCATGAAACATATCTTATTTCCTTTAACAAAAATGTTGAAATAAAACAGCAGTTTTCAACTTTTTCTTCATATAATGAACTCTAAAGCTAATTCCTAAAATTCAGCCACAAAAAAACATGAAATATAAATATTTAGGTAAGCAGCAGTGTAGTGTATATTTTATTTTGTAGACTAAATGCTCAAAACATTTTTAACATGGAATTATGTTCCTTTTTTACCTTTCATTACCACTGGTTTAAAATCCTGATCTTTAGCAATATAATGGATACCACTGTGGTTTGCTGTAGAGGCGGTGAAAGGTAATTTATTGCTGTGAAGGATTATACAACTAATTTGAAAGAAATAATCATTGTACATATAGGCTTGAAGACAATAACTATATAATGGCTCAATGGGTTTTAATTTAGCATGTAAAAACCAAGTGTTATAACACATATTACTCAGCAAACAAATGCTACATTATTTTCTAAGGCTGTCAGTACAACAAAGGTAAATAGTAAAAAAAGGAAAGAATGTCATTGAACATAAGTTTAAGGGCAATCAAAATATTGCTATTATCGTGATTTTCGAAAAATAATTTGAGTCTTTTTTTTATTTTTTATTTTTGGCATTATTTTTCTTGTTACCAAATATGAAAGGTTCCTATGAAATTTCTTGTTGTCTTCCTTTTTTCCTAGTGGTGACATGGGCAACTTTTTGATAAATTTAGTAGCAGAAAAGACATCTGGACATTGATCAACTGCAATAATCCATTTAATAGATCTGTTGTTGGCTAGCAACTTGTAAGGTCTCAGCCTAGCTGCATTGTTTAATAATAATAGTTCTAAGTGGGCAGTCCAGTGCTTGTTGGTGGCATGAGGTGAACATTGCAGATCATTTGTTTGGTAACTAGAAGCTAGACTTGTACCCAAAATCTTTGAGTTTATTGACTGATACATCATATCATTTGAACATCAATTTATGACACACAAGGTTCAGTAGCACTGAGGTAGATGTATAATGTGTCATGGAAGTTATATTAAAATAACAAATTATTTAGTTGAAGATGTAAAACTTCTTAATTAAAAAAGTTGTAACATTTATCCCAAGACTTCAGTATATTTTGTATGTTCAAGAAATTCATGCTTTGTCATTTTCATAGAATATTGAAAAATGTGTGGTAAATTGGTTGCCTACATCTAAACTGGAAACTGTGAATATTTCCTGTTTTATAAATGATTTCTGCTTTCATTTACATTTGCTTAGCTGAATTCCTTCTTCCTGTCTGGGGGCTTGATGTGGTGTATGGATCGAGTTTTTATTACTTTATAAGTTTATTTATTCTCTTTCAGCGTTAAGAATAGATGGGAATTGTTATGATACTGATACTGAGATTTTTTTAATGTATCATCATTTAAATGAATGCGTCAAAATCTATTACATATTTTTAAACATTGTCTTTAAAATGTTTGTTTAAATTTATATCATCACTTGATTCATCTCTAATAAGTCTTGTATCATAGGAGCAGAACCATCTAATTTAGTAGGCATCTTGGAAAATACCAAGGGCCACACTTGATCATTGCTGCCTTTATAACTAAAAAATATATTTGTAAAGAGCTTGAAATGTTTGGTTGGCTGATGGAATAAAATGCTATCACTGTGATACTGCATTGAAGTTCAAAACTGACATTTACTTGTGTTCATCAATATTTCAAGATTTTAAAAGTAAATCCTAACTGTTGCTCCACAATTTTACACCTCATTCAATATGTGCAGACATGAGTCCAATGAGTAATGATGTTATTGAAATATAACAAACCTTTTTTTTTTTTTTTTTTTTTTTTTTTTTAATTTAATTTTTAAATTAAATTTTCCTATAGATCTGTTGGTGTATTCTCCATGTCCATCTTTATTTCTGTCTGCAACTGTTAATAAGAGGGCCATGAAGATGGTAGGAATGGAAAAATAATAATGGTTGAGTCTTTAACTGCTTGCATGGTAATTTAAACTCCAGTTAATATCAGAAACAAAAATATGCTTGTTTTATCTTAGAGAAAATCACTGACAAATGACAATTAGTTTCGCTTACCTTTTTTAAAATTTATTTCCTATACATATTTTTATTCATCCTAACCCAAAAGTCAATGTTGTTTAAAAAGTTATTAAGAATTGTCCATGTCTTATTTTTATAATTTTTATATTATCACTTTTTCTTTTAAAACCTATTTTTACAGCTGTTCAAAATTGCATGAGCAAAACAAAATTATAGTTTAAAATAAGATGGTTTGTTGCAGTCACAATCTTTAGTTAAACCACAGAAGGATTTTTTGGGAGTCATTCTTAATGATCATAATTATAAACAATTAAAAACCATGACATTTTACAGAATTTATTAGTTATTATGGGCAGTTGATCCATGTTAAAACATAGAGCAATTGCCCAAAATGTGCATCTGTTGGTGAGCTGTCCATGTGGACTATTATTTCCAATAAAATATTTCTTGAATAACTTTCAAAATTGCTGTTGTTCTTTATAAAACAAGTTGTGTTTGTCACTTGTCAGTTTGATGGCACTGCAGTAAACCAAGTGGTTTTCTATTTATTTAGCTCTGTTAAAGCAGTGGTTGGTCTTAGGCGACCCCTGGGAAAGGTTTGTGTGACGCCTAAAGGGGTTGCGACCCACAGGTTGAGAACCGCTGTGTTTAAGCTTTAATCATTGTTGTTTCATACTTGAAACCACATCTGGAAATTAAACCAGTGGGTCTCAAACTCTTGTGGCTATGCTGCACCCATGGGCGCCCACAGGTAGGGGCAAAGTGGGGCACTTGCGCCCCCCCCCCCCCCGGATTGATTGGAT